CGAAGAGGAGCGAAAGGCCGAGGAAGCGCGCAAGAGCGAGGAGGCCAAGAAGGCCGAAGAGGAGCGAAAGGCCGAGGAAGCGCGCAAGCGCGAGGAGGCCAAGAAGGCCGAAGAGGAGCGAAAGGCCGAGGAAGCGCGCAAACGCGAAGAGGCCAAGAAGGCCGAAGAGGAGCGAAAGGCCGCAGAAGCGCGCAAGCGCGAAGAGGCCAAGAAGGCCGAAGAGGAGCGAAAGGCCGAGGAGGCGCGCAAGCGCGAGGAAGCGCAACAGCAGAAGAGCAAGACGCCAGAGCCAGCGAAACCAAGCTCAGCTCCAGAATCTGCGGCGGATGCGGATCCAAGTAAGCTGTTGGGAAGTGCTTTGCGAGACTTGGGACGCTTTGGAAGCAAGGATACGAAGCCGGAAACCCAACCAGAAAAGAAAGCCCCAGCTGCTCCCACAATCAACTACGACCTGTTTGCTTGAGACTCGAGGAATCATGTGGACTTTCTCATTTAGCAGATCTAAAAATGTTTAAGGAGGGCAGGAGTAGGTGAGTAGGGCGTTTGCTGTCCCGACTCCTTGACGTCTCCTTAATATATGCACTCATCCTCACGGATGACTATCAGTTTCATTTCAAGTAGCCAGTGTTTTCAAAGCAGAAGTCGCAAGTTTTTCCTGCAGACTTTCAAGAGACGTTTCAAATTGCTTTTAAGCGCTCCAGGGAAACCTGGGGTGTCTCTTGAAATCCTGTCGGCTCTTGAGCTTTGCCATCGCACCTTAAACGGCCCCCGCTCGAGAAAGAGAGCACTGGCTTGCCACAAGAAGTTGAGGCTTCTGCAGCTAGCCGGCCCATCTTTAACTTGCCACCATAAGTGCTTCTGGGAGGCGACAAAGCTGGGAAGTCGCAGCCGCGAAAGGCCTGCACCCCAACAGCCAATCGATCTCGAGCAGCCTATCCCAAGCTGCTTTGAGGTTAGTGGATCCGAGCTTCCAACTCGGACGGAGAAGGCCCTCTTGCCATCGGTCCAGCCTTTGATTCACAAAGCTTGGTATTGTGAGCATATACACCGGAGGAGTCAGGGGCGCAAGCACGCGACGGGGAGGCCGGTCATGGAAACCAATGCGAGGTGAAATGTCCAGCACATCTCAGCAATGCTGTGCAACTCTGACGGTGCATTGCAGCCGTTTACAGCCCGATTCCACTTCCTGCAGCCATGCTTGCGTCTGCTCCCGGCCTCTCGCGCAGCTTCTTGAAACTGTGGACGCCGGCATCAGCACGGGCGGCTGCACAGAATCTTGGAACGTTAGAACCCACCCTACTACACCCGGGTTGCCCCGTGGGTTCATCGCTGACAAACTTTCCGCCAGGCTTCAACGACCTCCGCTGCCGCCTTTCAGCCGTGAAGATGCTATCAAAAAAGTCCGGATGGCCGAGAACGCTTGGAACACGCGCGATCCCGAGACCGTCAGCTTGGCCTACACGGAGGATGTCGGTTCAGACCAATGTTTGCAGCCATGTATGTGGGCTATGCACCTAGTGGAAACATAGCGTACTGTCATGTCAGGACTGCGTGTGGAGGAATCGCGACGCCTTCTTTCAAGGCCGTGAAGCAATCGTCAAGTTTCTACGCCAGAAGTGGGAGAAGGCGGTCCAGCAGAACTGCGGCACACCGGCAACAGTCTCAGAGTGCTGCGTGCAGGAGCAGGAGTACCGCTTGATAAAGGAGCTCTTTGCCTTTGAGGGAAACCGGATAGGCGTCTGCTTCCAGTATGAGTTCAAAGACGCTTCCACAGGCTCTCACGCGACTTACGCAGATACCATTTGATCCGGTGCTGCGTGGGATACTCTTGTGCTGGTTACAGGGATTTGGTACCGCGCCTATGGCAACGAGAACTGGGACTTCGCAGCAGACGGGCTCATGTGCCGACGGCAGGCAGCATGGCAAGCATGACCCACAATTCCAGTCTTCGATTCGAGCCGGATTTCATTGCCAGGCGTCCATCAACGATGTCCAAATCAAAGAGTCGGTTCCGCACTTGATATTGACTTGCCCACTTGTGTCTTCCAGCCACTCCATTTTTTTGCTGAGGATCGCCGGTTCACTTGGCCTGAATTGGGCAAACGACCTGAGGACTTTCCATCCCTAAGTGCCTTGTACGAGATTCACGGACAGTAGCGCTGCTCGGAGCAGCCAGGCGTTGTGTGACCTGACCTTACACGTCGCATTGCCTGATGGACACTGTCCGCCAACATGCGAGATTACCATTGCCGAGCTTTCCGGCATTCTAGCAGTTTGCGTTGGCGCAATCAATGCGCTGAACAGTGCGAGCTTCTCTCTCGCAGCTTCGCTGGAGTGTACAGATAGCCGCGACATCAGAGGATCCACAAGCTGACCTGAAAAGCGGTGCTCTCTGTGGGCCATGGGCTTGATTAGGAAGCCCTGGTTCTCATTCGGATTCTTATCATAATTTTAATCACATGATTAGCAAGTGAAACATCCCTTCCTATTTGCTATCTAGCTCGTCGTTTGCTGATCTGTCTTCGTACAGTGTCCGGATCGAGCAGGCTCGAGGCGACGCACGCAGAAGCTTTATCGCCTGGCTCCTGCAAAGTCCTGTTTGCATGATGTTTGTGGTTGGCCCAGCCTAGGCCTGTTGGGTGGTCGAGCACCGGGCTGTTCTCATTCGCTCACAGCCCAGCGTCAAGGCTCGAACAGGGAGTGTGTCAGAGTCCTTCCGCCACGCGCCTCCTGTCCGTAGGCCGAGAAGCTCGGCATTGTCTGCAAGGGGCACGTCTTAAAAGGCTACGAAATGGAAGGCCCTGCACTGTGCCGTGTGTGGAAAGACACAGGGCATGGCTCTGTAATCTGACTTTTTCAAGTGGCTGCCAGGCTGGGTGAAGCTAACCCGGGAGTCCAGCATTCAGGCGGAGCTCTTTGCTTGCTTGCAATATCTTGCAATCTAGTAGTATCGTTTCGTGTTGTGTCGGTAGCCTGAGTCTCCTATTTACCGGGCAGTATTGAATCCGACACACAGCCTTGATATCTGCAAGGTCCTTCGTGCAACATCTTCAGGTATAGTTCATGCTCCCTCCTTCCAGAACTTCGCTCGGAAGCAAAATAGGGCATAGGCAAACCTGGGGCATCGGCAATGGATGGATAGAAAGAGTAACTGCTCGGTTTGTAGTCTGCAACTGAGCCAGGCAGGCGTGGCGGAGGGCAAGGTCGCCTGGGTGCTCATAGATGGACAGGAGGCTCCTATCTGGCCTATTATATAAGATAAGCAAGATTATGCAACTCAATGTGAGTTAATATGTATGTGTATATATATATATATATATATAATTATATAATGTATAATATCCACCCCCGGAATTCCCTTTCTATCCTCTGTGCTTCAGGTTGGCCTGGGCCTGTTGCTTCGGCCTCTGAAGCCGGGCGAGAAGCCAAGGAGCGACAAAGATTCCAGAGAGGCCGGGATTTCCGTTGTCTTGACTCCAGGTCCATGCCTCCGCTTATGCTGAAGAGACGCGCAGGAGTCAGATGACGAAAAGTATGGAGTTGCCTGGAGATCCGAGGCAGGGTCGGATTTCGATGAGCAACTTGGCTCACAACCACCTGTGCACAGCAGGACATCTACACAGGGGCGCTGGAGTTCGAAGTCCTTTTCAAGTCGGTATCTGTCCGGAGGCAAGCAGTCCGAGATTCTGAGCAAGAGGCATCAAGCTAGAAGCAAAGGAGACCAAGAGTCACTTCCAAGTCCTTGGGGATCGTCACGGAGGCCGGGCCCGAGTCGTGCGGGAAAACATGGCGCCAAGATGTGAAGCCATGTTCAGCTGTCTCTGGCTGAGGGCAATCGCGTTTGGGGCTACGCCAAAGACAACTGGCTTCAAACTAACCGGAAGTACAGGCGAGAAGAAGAGACTTCACGGAGCATCGTGACACACTCTTTGATGTGACTTCTCAGCACCCCCACGCAGGCAGAAGGAGCAAGGCTGGATTCGCATTGTGCTGACCTCAGTCAAAAACTATCACACGTTGTTTTTTTTTTATGTCCTCGCAAGTGCCTGTCGAGTTTTGAAACGAGGAAACTGGCAACTCGCTAAGGATGGAACTGATCTGGGCCATGGGCAGCTTCTGCAGTGCACCATGATGAAGCCCGCCACCTTGAAGTGCTTTGCAGAGGCTCTCAGCAACTCGCGCCCAGTAGCCAGAAGATGCCGCCAGTTCTGTCAGGCACTGCTGATAAATTGGCAGCCACTCCCGGTGAAGTCGGTGGTGTACACCCTGGAATGGATGGCACAGGACTGCTGCTTCTTGTCGTTGTTACCTGGAAAGTCTCCGCCCTCGAACCTGCCCTCAGGATAAAAAGAAAATCAACGTGGCCGTGGATAAGACGCGCCTTTGCGCTGGTGCACCTCCTAAAGCACGACTGCAGTCTGAAAGTCCGAAAGCCGACAGCAGCGAAATCTGCTGGTGCTGAGGCAAGATCGGTGCTTTGGCGGCAGATTCAACTTTCTACGTGAGGCTTGCGTACGGCCTGAGCATACACGAGCGACATGACATGCAGAGATCGTGAAACAATGGCAGGGTGACCGCGCACATCTTGATCCCTGGCGTAGATGCGAACAATCCGAGGAGTGTTTGCGCAAAGGCGCCTGATTGGTCAATTTAGCCTTCTCTTTCTCTTTCTGACTCTGTGGCTTTCTTTATCTCTCTCTATCTCGCTCTCTCTCTCTCTCTCTCTCTCTGTTTCTTCTGTTTCTTCCTGATTACACGTATTGGCACACACTGGTGGCGATTCACTCTCAGAGTGCAGCACCCGAAACCATTGGCAATCTACGACCAGGTGAGCAGCGACTGGGTGGAGGCGCAGACAGGCCTGGCGGCCTGTCCACGCATGCCACGACCTGGGCCTAAAGTTCCGAATTCTACGAGTACAGTACCTATGTAGCCTATGAGTTATTGAGACGAAGACTATTAGCAATCTCGTCGACGTTGTTTTTATTGTCAGTAGTAGTAGTGCCATGTGGTGCCATTCATGTTATCGACTTTGAGAGTACCCACTCTGCTGATGGCCTGTTATTGCCATCAACGCAGAACTCCTAGCGCGACCGATTGGTCTCCGGCAGGATCGGCCGTTGACGAAACGGAGGAAGCTGCAATGACATTTGATCCGCTGGTGCGCCCGACATGCTGCAGCTTCGCTTCTGACGTCGTTGTTCATTCATGCTCAGGCAAAGATTCGTGGAAAATGCGGCGACTGCGTTTTGGTTGCGTATTGGAGCTGCCCCGCGTTGCCGCACCGGCCGGAGACAAAAGGGTATTTTACATGATCTGGTTGAGGCCAGCACTGTGCCAACTTCATTCTGTCCAAGTACTCCTATCTCATGCGCTTGGACGAGGTGGGACTGAAATGCCAAGCGAATCTGCCCGTTGTATTGTTGTAAGATATATATGAAATAAGCCAACTAAGACACTGTCGAACGGTCGGCAAGAGTATATAGCAACCAGCTGCAGGTACTTTGTCGTCGCTGCGGATGCGCCTGTACGAGCCATGAGATCGTCGGAGAGTACGGGACATCTCTGCGAACTGTAGTGACTTTCTGTATCAGTTTCGATCGTCGATCGTCAGATTTTCAATTCAGTCTCAACTGCCGGCCTTCTATGTGAGGAAGTCGCGGGCGCAGTGGGCCAAAGACAACGAACGCAGGCATATGGTCAGCTGATCTCATCTGCACATTCCGTGGGCGCTGTACATGACCCAGAGTGAATTGCCTCGCAAGGCAGCGAGAAGGCCAGCGCCGCCAGCAACAGTTCTCAAAGCCAAAGCCGATTATGCCAGCGGAGCAGCCAGACATGACTTCAGACCGCAGGAGATGTATCGTGGAAAGAGACCTGCAAAGCCATCATTCCCGAACAGATGGCAAGACCATATCTCAGGCTGCCCTGCGTTCCTTGGCAGCCTGATGATGCGCCAGTGGGGCACTCAGCAAAAACAAGGCTCCGTACGATACATGGGCTGGCACGGCACTTGTTTCTGTCCAGGTTGGCAAGAGCAAGGCACGGTATGTCATCGAGCAGGCAAGGCATGTCGATTCTTCGGTTTGTGCTTCTGCGATCGAGTAGGATGGTAGGTTAGGGCCAACTCTAAGCTCGAACAGTTTGGTTAAGTGAGTTTAGTTTAGATCACCTGATAATGGCATGGGCGGACTGCTCATGTGTCCGCCACTGGTGTTCTCGGCTTCACTCGACTTCTGAAGTATAGAAGATCACGCTAGGGGGTTGATCAGAGGTCGCCTTGAACAGGTGAAAAAAGCGCGAAACTTGTACGAGACCTTGGGCGTACGCCCATCGGCGGCGGCGAAGGCTTGCATGACATGCCATGATCGATGAGTCTCCAGAACGGTCCTCAAACTCCAAGGATATTCGCAATGCTTACCGTCAAATCGCACTGCGTATCCATCCAGACAAGGCCCGTTCGACGTCTTCGGTGACGCAGCCTTGAATGATGGTGACAGTGGGGGTTGCGGTTGCGCAGGTCACATCGGGTGGCAAAGAAGAAGAAGACCTGGTTGCACAGGCGGAGGCATGGGTGCTGTGAAGCTGCGGCTGGGCCTTTTGCTGAGACTCGGAATTGCGCGTCAGGCTGCCTTCAAGCTGGTGTCCTCAGCCTATGAAGTTCTTGGTGACGAAGGTTTCGGATCAAATCATATTTAGTCAAATCTGTTGTTTAATGCTTTCTGCGCTTGAAGTGTCTTTGCGTATGCCGAGCATGGAAGGCAAGAGATCTTCGTACAACCACACGGCCAAGTGTTGCCCCCAGATCACCGGCATTAAAAAAGAGCGACTTTCTCTTCTGCTGTGCTGCTGATATTGCCCCACGCTCATGCGCACACGTTGAAGTTCACATCTGCACTGCTCAAAGGGCCAGTGGAAAGGCTGCAGCGGCGTCTCCAAAGCCATCAGGGTCCATGGCTCAACATGAGCATGCTCGATTGTTGGAAGCGACGACTCGACCATGCCGGCAGCTTTCGGTGCCAAGGCCAAGGACCACAGCTCCTGCATCCCAGAGAGCTTCTTGGTGCGAAAACCGCAGAGTTGCGAGACCTCTGCCGGCTTTAACGTCTTTGTCCTTGTTTTAATGCCCTGAGCCTGGCCCTCCAAGGAGCATTGGCCAGGAGGCCAGCTCCCACACGAGGCCTCCACATATTCACTCCAGTCCAAACCTTTTGCGCTTCGAGGCGGCGCGGGAACGTCTAAAGCAGAGGCCAGGGGCAAAGAAAGCGCTGCTGCAAAGTTCGGTCTGCTCTGGTCGAGCATGAGGTGGTTCTCACTGCAGGGATCCAAGTGAACAGTTGCAATATGCAGACATCGACATTCACCGAGACCGTCTTGGTTTCAAGCTGGAGGTGTCGCATGCAGTCCATGGTGAAGAGATTCGCATGTCGATGAATCGTGGGACGCGGGATGCTTAATTTCAAGGGACCACTCATGACCGCTCACAGATTCCAGCCCTGTTGAGAAAACGAGTCCAGCACTTCTTTTGCAAGGAGTGTCATGGGCCTGAAGCGGGCCCTCTGCAAGAAAGTCAAGCGGGGACCGTGTTGGCCTCAAGGACTTGTGCAGTTCTGATCGCAGCATCGCTGGTGCACTGCTTGCAGGCCGGAGTGCATCGACATCTGCGACAGTAGCGGATGCATCCTCGGAGATGATCATCGCTTTGCCGATAATCAGGCTATTCCTCGTGAAAAAGAAATGCCTAAACCCTCCGAAGAGTCCAAGAGGAGCTCCACTGCATTGGCATCTCCCTTGGCCCACCCAAGACGATCACGGTGGAGGCTGCGCTGCACAGTACTCTCTCTCCTCTCCCCCTGTTTGGCATCTGAAAGATCGGGCGCTGGAGAGGTGAAGGACCATCGGTCAGGAGCCAGGATGCAGGTGGAGGTGGTGAACTCAGGAATATGTCCGTGCTGGTAGGAGTGTCTCCATATAGACTGGGGGCGATCCAGAGATCTGTTGTGTTCAGTGCCGGCGCAAGTTTGGTTCTTGTTGAACAGGGCTTACAGTCAGTGGCATATCGACGTCGGACGCCAGCATGACTCGCCGAGAGAATTTACACGGAATGTCAGTCATTCTCTCGCGGTTGAGTCCTAGATTGAACTGTGGAACCTCGTAACCGGGATGTTTTCGTGTGCTTGCTGCCTGAGGTGCTGGACACTTCGAGCATGGAGACAGTCAGAAAGAAGGCTTCTTCATGTGCTGCAAGTGTAGGCAGCCCAGCAACAGATACCGCTCTACAAGTGTCGAGGTCGCCAGAGAGCTGAAGGTCAAGGAGAAGGCGCTGCCATTTAGGAGGTGACGTGCGATGCCTCCCTGGGTCCCTGCGCACGGAAGGAGCTGCAGATTGGGCAGCAAAAGAGTGCGGGCAAGTACTCTGCTCGTCGCTTCGAAGCTTTACCAAGCGAGGAGCTGCTCAATGGCAGGAGCCCCTTGAGTTGAACAATGGCTGGTCGACTTTCCTGTGAAAAGGCCCGTTGCGCCAGGAGAATGCTCTACATCCACGGAAACGGAGTTCTGATTTACCTCAGCTTGGAGCAGGAATCGGGAGTTCCTTTGAAACTTGCATATGAATCACAGTCTGGCGGAGGGCTTGCAGCTGCAGCGGGAGCTGATCGTTGCATATGGCGAGTGCGTACCTCGGAATGCTCCGGTCAGCACGGATCTCTTTGGTTCGCGTTGGAATCGAGGGCGATCTTTCAGAAGAAGCTGGAGGCACTTTTGTCCGAGTACCCAATGCCTAAGACCCAGAATGGAAGGGCCGGATGTGCAAAGAGCAATGGGCCACAACAACGCTGTGAGGCCGGAGTCGATCACCCAGATGAAATTCCGGGAGGCGTCGGAGATCTTAAGCAAGAGGAGTCTAACATAATTGAGGGACTTTCGGAGCTTACGTGAGCTTACCGAAACGCCCTGCGGAGCCTCTGTGGCTTCTGCGAAGGCCTTCGGAAAGCTGGTCCGCGACGCGCAGAAGGCCACCCTGGCAAGGTGCGACGAAGTCAAACACGTGACAGAGAGACTTAACCAAGCTAAGCCGCCTAGCCGCAGCCGTACAGGTGGGGCTTCGAGGGTGATTTTGCGGCGCAGAACATGATGACGGCATTTGGCAAGGCACGGTGCCATGCAAAAATATGCCAGACGTGCTCAGAGTCAAGCTTTTGTTGATAGGTGGCGCATACCCCAGAAGTGTATGAGCTCAGCTTGGAGATCGACAAGCTCCTGCGGATCACATCAGGTGCTCCATGCTTGCTTTTCGAAGCTTCCGCAGTGCAGTCAGTAGCAGGTGCGAGAAGTTATCGCTAGCACGTGCCGCAGTTTGTCATTCGCAACGTCAGCTCTGTGATTCCCCTTGCCTCTGGCTGCAGACAAAGGAACCAGTCAGTGTCCAGGCGTATTCAGGGCTTGGGACGCCCGTGCCGCCATGGATGGCGAGCTCCTGTACATGGAGAACGAGCATTACTCCCTTGTCGATGCGCTGCCCTACATAGACACACAGCTGGGTGCAGCAGAGGTCGCTCAGCAAGTGAAGGCTCTCATTGAGGAGGAGATGACTCAATTTGAGCCGCGTGACTACTTGGCATCACTTCCAGCACCCACACTCACCGTGTTGAGCAGCGAGCAAATGCAGCAAGAGTTTGCCAGGGTCAGCCGAAGGGCGCCATTAGGTGCTGTTGATCCAAAGAAATACGAGATAGAGAAGCCGGATGGCGAGGCAGCCGAAGACGAGAATTCTTGGAAGTCTGTCTCCGCTACAACGCAGATCAACCTAGAATATGCCAGAATACAATCCGTGAACCTCGAGCTGTTGGAGCAATGGGGGAAAAAGGCTTGGATCGCTCACAACATGCTCATTCGTGGTGCCGAGAGAGTCCTCAACAATGAGGCCACCGAGCTTCGTGCTTCCCGTGAGGAGGTGAACAAAAAGCGCAAGCTTGACCAAATCTCTTGTGGCAACGACCTGCGGAAGCTCACTCGCGAGTTTGAGCAGTACCAGCAGGACAACGGTGATGTGGATTCAGCAGTTAGGGATCTTGAGCTCGACATCATGCGCCTGCGGGAAGCTGCCGCAGAGCGGGGTGTTGACATCTCCGATGTAGACCCGCTGGCCAAGCCGCAGGAAGGTGAACCCCAGGAGCCGTAGATATGGAGCATTCAGCCATCACAGAGGTCGACTCTGCATGCTCATGCGGAGCAAAAGAAGCAGGCTGCACCCGACGCAGAGATTGCCCCTTGCAAGCTGTGCCGTCGCCTCAGTGGACCACACAGACTCCGGCGTGGGTTTCAGGAGGGATGATCGCAGCCCCCGTGAAGCCCAAGAAGGATGCTCAGGCCAACAACGGTGCTCCTCGCCAGATTGTATGCTTGTGCCTTGGGGCCCTTTGCAGGCAAAGGCCACGGCTTCGGCATCTGACTCGAAGGTCGCAGTGCTTGCAACCAGGCATGAAACGCTCAAGCCTGGCCCATGTTGCAAGGAGAAGTCGGAGAAGCCGAAGAATTCGAAGGTGCCAAGCAGGAGTGGTCCCAAACCGCCAGCTGTGGCCTCGAGACCTCATGTATGAAAGCAATCTCCAAACCTGTCCATGTCAGGTCGTCATAACGGTACGGCAGGCGGTCGAAGAGGACAACGAGCCTCCGGCGCCACCTTTGAAGGCCAGTAAGACTTCGCATACTTTCGCTGGCAGTTTCCGGCGCGAAGCCTGTCGCGCAGGTCGCCGTCCCTGCAGATGCCACGATGCGCCGCCTCAAGCAGGCAAGACCCTTTGACCACGGGGAGCACTGAACACGAGCGCTTTGTCAGACTCGCGGCAGGCTATTGCTGAGAAGCTGGGCCTGAAACGCACGGCCTCTCTAAAGCCGGGTTGGCTCAGAAGGGGTTAGTCACGCCTTCGCAACAGAGTTTGAACGGTACTTGATTGTGGTGTCCTTGAAAGGCTGGTATTTCATCTGGACTCTCGGGCCATGACCTCTGTACATCAGCATTGATCTTGCAGTTTCTTCCTTCATGGCAGAGAAGTCTTGATGACGCCTGATCCAGTTACGAAAAACGAACATGCCTGAGAGTGGCATGACCTTTGCGTGCGGATCACAGTCAAGCAGAGTTGCCATTCACTCTACCATGTTCTGCCCAGCTCGGTTGCCCCGTATGAGGTCCTTCAAAGATGACGAACTTATCGGCTCGCGCCGAGAAGTCCTTCTGCGAACGCCTTACAGTGCCTTACAGCCGCTTCGGTACTCGTCCGAACGTAGAGTTGCCTGACTGCAGGTTGGGAGCGGACCTCCGTGATGTGGTGTTTGCGACCTGTTTTGATGGGCTTCGTCCCCTCGTTGCCTGCGCCGTGCCAGGCAGAGGTTCGGGTGGAGCTGAGCGGTGTACCGCAGCTCCCTGACGGAACGGCCCAGCTGGCATGGAAGACAAAGCTGCTCCAGCTTGAGGTTGTAGCTACTATACAGCTAGCTTCTGCAGATTCAGGTGGTCGTCTACGTTTCGCAGTCCGCCACCTTGCGGGAGGCTCGCAACCCAGACGGACGGGGATATGCAAGGTGATCATAGTATGTCTTACCCAGCTTCAGTTCTGGGCACCAGCCTGCTGGAAGGTCAAAGAAGCAGCGGCACGCAAGCTGTTGGGCAAGGAGGTCTGCGGAAAACACAGCCAGACTGGAACGGAGCCCCTCCCTCGACAAACCCAGTCTGGCGAAGGCTGAAGAGCCGACCGCCGCCCGAATCGCGGAGGTGCAAGGGCAGGGCGTGTGTTCGGTATGCTGACCGTCTGCCGAGTCGCGAGTTTCATCGTGTGAAGCTGTGAAGCTTTCATTGCAGCAGGATAGAATGATACACATGGCAGCCTCGGCTCAACGGGGGGGTGGGTCGGTGCCTAAACTGCCCCCCAAGCAGTTTCTCAAGTGCAGCAATGGCATTGGTTTCAGCCTCAGCCCTCCGGAAGAGCTTTGACCATCTCATACCCTGCGATCTGCAGGATATTGCAAGATGCTATTTCTGAGGCAGTGCGCCAGCCTGGCACGGACAAGTCGCAGCAAGTTGAACCGGCCTTTACAAGGCCCTACCGAGTCGCTACAGGTTGCAAACATTGCAAACCATTATGCCTCCTCCTGTGATGAACTGAAAATGTGCAGGCGCAGCGTCACTGAACCTCACATGTTGAGTAGCAGGGGGGCAGCAGCATCTGTTGTTCAGTTGTTTCCTGGTCGGTGGTGGTCGTGGTGGTGCTGGTGCTGCTGCTTGCACCACACACACAGACAAACAACAAATCCCTCTCGCTCTCGTTCTCTCCCTCTCTGTCCCCCTCTCTCTCCCTCTCCCCCCTCCCTGTCTGTCTCTCTCTCTCTCTCTCTCTGTCTCTCTCTCTCTCGTTTCTCTGCCTCTTGTCGGCACTCTGATTACCATGCTGTGTTCTCGCTTCTCGCAGGGAGCGCTTGTCCTACGAGCTTGCATACAAGACTGATGAGCAGAAGGCCCCATTGTCGCTCTTCGCTGCTTGGCTGATCAGCACCCCAGCCCCATGTTGGCCAGGCACTGGCAATTTCCGACCTCGCAGCGAAGGACCGCCTTGAGCTGCACTCCACCAGTGGTAACTGCCGATAAGGCTTGTCATGAACATGCCTGCAGGGGGAAGCCGTGGTGGTTTCTCACTTGGTCAGAGTCTTACCAGTAAACATGCCTTCAAAGCATCCCTCAAGCATCTGAGCATCCTGTGGGAGGACTACATCGTCTCAGAACTGCAGCGAAGCCCGGGTAAGGAAATGAAGCAAGCAGCCCGCTCCTCAGTCGCTGGTGGACCTTTACACGCTTTCCGTGCTTTGGCGCAGCTGCAGATTTGCAAAGCAGTCATTGCTGCTGGGCCAGCCGCGACTGCATTCTACCACGCCGATGACTCGTCTTGCTCCAACCCGGACGTTGGATGGTTGCTTGAGAGACCGATCTCAAAGGAAATCGCCCATTTGATCAGCGACAACAACCCCGAGGCACCACTCGCAGTCACAGCAAAACAGCAGGCACTCGCATCTGTCGACCTTTGATATTGTCAGGTCCGCTACTGGGGCTGCCTGGCTGTCGGGACGATGGGAAGCTCTGCATCAGGCCACTGAATCACCAATCTTGCGGATTGCTGTTGTTGCTTTGTCGGGCTATGATTCTTCGGGTTCTTACTTGGTAGTTTCTGTCATTTTTGCTGTTGTGTCACATTGCTATGTTACCATGTCATCATCACGAACATCATCACCACCATCCCATACGCATCTTAACCGTTTCTGTACTGCGACTAACTATGCTGGTGAGGGTGGGCGTAATTGGCAAATTGGCATTTGCTGCTGCCTGCAGCCACAGGAGCCAAGCGTCAAATTCGGAGCCTTCTCCAAGACTCCTCTGAAGCGGTCCGCTTTGGTGCCTGCTCTGCGCTGGGCGGCATGAAGGCAGGGCATGTTCATGGTAAGATCAAGTTCTGAAAGGAATACAGCACAGCAAGGCCGATCAAAGTCGTTTGTTGCAGGGACTTCCAGCATTGTTGGCTCTCTGAGCAGGCTGAGGACTGCATGGAGGACTTGAAAGAGAAGCTTGCGGCTGCCTCCTGAGATACCGAGAGATGTAGCCTAAGCTCAAACAACAGTTATCCAACATTTGTATGCAAGGATCCTTCTCCCGAAGTGCAGGGGGCTGCTTGCCTGGCGCTGGGGCAACACCGGCAAGTTCAGCCCATGATGACGCGCACAGCATGATCGGTTAAAGACTTGAAAGCAGGAGAATGGGAGTAGCCGGAACAAAGTATGCGGACATGATTGTTCCGAAGCCTGGGCCTCACCCACGTGTATTACAACACCGCAACGAAGTGGCCGTGTAATGCGGCTTTCTGAGGCTAAGCGAGCCTCGCTCGCGTAGCGATGCTCTCAAAGCTCTCGCCCTCATGGGACCAGAAGGCCTCCGCCTAAGATCGCATGCCTCTCATCATCTCTCTCCACCCTTGCTTTCAGCCTGCCTGTGCACGTGCACCGCAGGCAGCAAGTACTGCGAGAAAGTTGTCGAATGCCTTTGCGATGAAGATGCTGAAACTCGCACACTCGCAGCCTCAGTGGTAGAGCTGGCACGTCAGCCCAGCCAGCGTGCCTTACAGCCAGCAGTCCTGCCAGGTCGGAAAGATGTCGGAGTATGTGAAGGATGCCAGCCCCGTAGTACACGTTTGCCGCACTTTCCTTCTTCAAAGATGTTGCAGCAATCTGCGACTAAGACTCCCGCGGCGATGAACCGCATACTCGACCTCGCGAAAGATGAGGAGCTCCGGCCGGCAAGAGCTGCAGGGTCCACAAAGAGTGGAACGAGATGCCACGACAACAAAAGGGAACCGAGGTTTTTCCGACAATTGCAGGATGTTCTCTGTAGCCAGCCTCGTGCCCGTGATAGGGATTTACACGAGTTTCTCTTGCTCTGACCGTCTTGGTGCTGGGGCCGCGGGCCCTGCTGAAGGATGGCCGGAAGCGGCTCGCTGCTGTTCTTGCGCTGGGTGCCTCTGCAGCAAGCGCTTAGCTTCATCACCCTGCTTTGCGGAGCCTTTTTGTTTCTGTAGGGATTCGGAGTGGTGACACGGTGTCAGGCTACATGGGCCGAGATGCAGCCTCACACAAGGGGCTCCTCCAGGCTGGTGTGGAACACAGGTCGAGTCCAGTCTCAAGTTGTCCCCTTTCTCGTCATGATTCTCATGTATCTTCACGTGTAGCTCCGGCAAACAGCGAGCAGGACTGCTTGCTGGATGAGTTCGAAGAGGATGCAGAAAATGCCCTCACACAAGGCTGAACTTGAGTCCATGCAGAGTGACAAGTGCAGAAGCCCCCTGAAACATGCGGAGGTGGTTGCAGAGCCCGACTGCCTCCTTCTTGCAGAAAGGCCAAGTGTGCCGCAGCTGCTCCGGTCTTACTTGCTTCAAGATCCTCTGAGTGCCGTTGGACTTGTCTCTGGACCAGCTTGTCTCTTGGATCTTTGAGGCAGCACTGGGGCGCATCGCATCCCAAGAACAGGGATACGGATGGGAATCCACAGCTGCGGATGTTGCAAGGCTGCGATGCTGTTTAACATTGCATTGAGACCTGGGGCAGGGGGCTTCTTCTTGCGTCCGCTCGAGGCTACTGAGTAGCGACGATTGGGAAGTGAGGCTTTGTGCCCTTGAGTGTTTGACCGCTCTTGGTCTCGCTCGCTTGGTTTACAGCTTGCACTCGGGCTTTGTAGTTTCATGTCTGTCTCTCTCTATCGGTTCGACGATGACAGGAAGAAGAGCACGGGAAAGCACGGACAAGGCCTGCATATTGTAATATTCGGGGCAGTCAGTGAAGCCAGAAGCCAGGTGCGACTGACATCGCATTGCTGTGAGGTGGTTGGTCAGCTGAGCGATGAGAAGTACATCATCCGTGCAAAGGCGCCGCAGCTACATGTTGCCTCTTTCGTGCTGACTTGTAATCACAGCCAGGCCGCCACCGCGCTGTCCAGAATAGGGGAACTTGAGAGCATCGGCCTCAACAAGCTTTCCGAGCTCCTGAAGGACGGAGGAAAAGCAGCAATGCCAGACTGCAGCTCTTCACGGCCTCACGGACAGGACACGTGTCCTGCGGTGAAATCAGCTGCAGCTCTGGCACTTGCCGAGATGGAGCCTCAGAGCCCGGTACGTCTTCAAGGAACTTGTTCTCGCGACTCCGCAAATCAGGCTGGGCGACGATGGGGCAGAGTATTGCAACAAGGCCCCGTTCAGTCGAGGGGAGTCTGCTCGCAAGACGTCGCTTGCTTGCTAGGTTTTCGACCTCCTAACTGACATCAGCGCAGATGTCCGAGCTGCTGCTGTGACTGCACTCTCGAAGATGAGTGATAAAGGTCAAGACCTCAGCCCCAAGGAATCGCTACGTGGATTAGACAGCCGGAGATACAAGTCAAAGCGGTGATGATAGCCCATCTAGGACACACGTGACAATCGGCTCAGCCAGTCTTCACTTCCTGTACAAACTTGAAGGTTGCTGCCTATGCTAATCGTCCACAGGAAAGCCTGAACACTTTCCCTGCATGATACGTATGGCCAGGTGATACAAGCTAACCCTGCTTGACACCCACTAATCCCTCGGGACGTGTGAAGTGGTGCTGTCCCTGCTTGTCAACGCACTGGACCGACGGACCCACCGCTGCACCTACGCAGCGAAACGTTAGCCCGGCACATGATGCTATGCGCTGAGCCAGAGGCATGAGACTGGCAAGCAAGTGATTGCAGGAACGTGCTCAACGCACTGCCAGTAGAGAAACATGATGTTCTGCAGAGCAGGTGTCTACTACTGGTACTTGGTTTGATGAGACCCCTCAACCCTACACCCTCGATGGCAGGGCAGCTTCGGCACTCTGTCCTTTCAGAGATAGCTTGTTTGCCGGAAGGGCCCGAGCAACGCACAGGCTGCAACGTTTAGATGACTGACTACTGGAAAATTCAGTTCAGCCCCGGCACGGTGTACTCGTGCAAAACTACATTTTGACAGGTAAGTACGTGGCTCTATCACTGGGTGTTCAGATCATCAGTGCTAATTCTGTGGCCTGAGTGGAATCAGGCCAGTACACAGATAGTTTGAATCATTACATTTCCGTGAAAAAGCAGCGAGCACACACGCATGCAACATCCGTTCAAAACACTTCTTGTCATTTCCTGAGAGCTCTTTGTGTGGGGCGGTGCTATTGTGATAACATGTTCAAGCTTGAACATCTTGGGGCAGCATGTAGGGAATGTACGGGTTTGGAGTTTACCTTCCTGTGTGCATTGCTCTTGTGCACGGCCGTGATGAGCAAGTTGTGGATTCAGGACTAAGGGATCAAGGCGTTCCCTTTCTGTGCAGAATTTGTGCAGGGAAGTCCTTACTTTAGAATGGAGAGGCCGCCGTGCCCAAACTTGGCGCCGCACCTCGATTCGTTAGGGTTTCGCACCCAGGTTTCAGGCTTGTGGTTCTGGGCTTAGGGTGCAATGACCAGGTTGAGGGATCGCACTGGCCTTTTCGACAAAAGCCCATATGCCCAAAATATGTACCGGCGTTCCTTTCGGCGTCGTATCGAGGCATCGACCTGCGACCTGATGTGGCATGCATGGGGTATTGACGCGCAAGTCGCCGGTTCGCCGGTGTTTCTCACCAAGTTGGCATGTGTGTGTGTGTGTGTGTGTGTTTATGTATATATATATATATATGTACGGATATGTATGTATAAGTACATATTATATTCATCTACATATGTATTTATGCATATACACCTTTGCATGCCTGGATACACACCTGCATGCATGTACATATGTTAGTTGTAACGCTACGCCGGCCTCGGCTTGCCGAAGCGCAGAAATGTGACACAACCAGGGGAGGGGGAGAGGAGGGCAGGGGGACAGGGGGGGACGGGGGCGGGGAGTACTGAGTGAACCCCAAGACGACTGAGGCCTGTGGCCTCGGCGGATTGTTAATGCACATATATATATATATATATAAATAGACATACCGTGACATACCCATGTACCCACATGTGCCGCCAAGCACCCCAGTTTTGACGAAGCGATTTTGTTTCGCTGTTGCATTGGGGTGCCGAGGCCGGTACTTCACCACCGTCATCGCTCAGAGATTAAAGACAGAAGGAGAAGACCCGAAAGTCCGTGTGGCAGCTGGGGCCTAAGGCTATGGCCAGGTCGCTCCATGTGCTGCGCGCTCGTGTGCAAGTCGAGAACTCACCAAGGCCATGGAAGCCCTCTCGGCTCTCGAGGCACGACACTGTTGGAATAAGCACATCTTCAACTAGGAAGACGGTGGGGCAAGGGTTTCGAAGTTTCAGAAATTGAACTTTGCCGCAGGAGAGAAGCCTGAACTTCCTGGACCTCATCAAGCAGCACCAACGGGAGCCCCGCTTCGTGGTTTCGTGGTCATCACGGATAACCACAATGGAAGAAATCATCATCATCATCATCATCATCATCAACAGTAACATTTGAATAGTTTGCTTCAGCCGCCTCATCTGCCGCATCGTAATCATCGCCATCGTCATAGCACCGGCAGCAACAAGAGACATGAGCATAAGAACAATGTTGGTGGTGCCTGCAGCAATGCACAAGTCGTGGTGGAAGCAGTAGTAGCAGTAGTGGTACTGGAAGAAGTCGTGGTGGTGACAGTCGTCGTCGGCGCCGTTGAGTAATCGTTAGCAGCAGCAGCAGCAGCTGCAGCAGCTGCAGGAGCAGGGGTAGGAGTAGGGATAGAAGTGCAGTGGCAGCAGCAGTGCAGTAGAAGTCGCAGTCGTCGTCGGGTAGCAGTTCCGTTGCATAAGCAGTTGCAGGAGCAGCAGTAGCAGCAGCAGCAGCAGCAGCAGCAGTGCGGTAGCAGGCGCACACGCGTACTAGTCACTGGTGGTTATTACGTTTTAACCGTCACTGTTGTTGTCGTAATGTGACATGTTAGCGGTGGTGGTATTTGCGGTAGGACTAGTCGCAGAAGTCCTCGTCTTCGAAGAAATGAAGTCTAGGAGAAGGAGTGGCGGGATTTGGAGGGGGAGGGGGAGTAGGAAAAGTCGAAGGAGGAGGGAAATATTGGATTGGGAGAAGGGGCGTTGGCAATAATGCCAGCAATAGGCATGTCGAACCAGTACCGGTAAGGAGCCTTGTTCTTGTGTTGCAGGACGAAGTCCCAAGCGTTCGGGAGGCTGCAAACAAATGCACTGCCGACTCGATTTAGATCTGCTGCAGCGGCATTGGATCAAAGTCTGAGATCTCTGGTTCTTGGCCAGCCTGTCATTTGAGATCCAAATCTCAAGCGACCTACGTACCAAGCACAATTCTTTGCATTGCGATCGAAAGTGTGTTGTAAGTTGGGGTAGTTGTGGTATGTTATAGTAATCTCTGATAATATCTGAGTATAGTAGTAAGGCCCCGGCACTACATTGTCACTTGCACTCCCGATGTCCAGCCCGGACTGTCGCCAGGTCTAGGACGCCTCGGACACGGCGGTTATGGCGGCTACGGTGCGATCCAGGAGAGTCCCAGTCTTTATCGTCTTCTTTCCCTTTCTTTCCCCTACTCCCGACACGCTTCGGTTGCGCATGTCACATAGCTGTCGGCACGCAGCCGTTTACGATTGGCGAGAAGTTTCGTGCCTTTTTTGAATTTGCATGACTTGGCGATTCGAAGGACAACGGTGATGAGGAGTGAGATAGCGGCCTTGCGAGTGCTGCCAGCAGGGCTGCAGGGTAGATGTTACAAAGTGAGACGCACGTTTCATGGATGCTCTTCCAGAAGACTCGTATGAGGAATTGCTTGCTGCCTCTAGAGCCAACCAGTATACACTCCATCGAAGTCAGCAGCACGCGTTCTGCTGCCCGTCGGTTTGCTAGCTGCTTCTTTTGCTGGGTACTTCTGAACTCGTTTTCGTTGCGTCGGCGGGCGAAAAAAGGTTTTGCCGTTGCCTGACCCTTGGAGCCGGAGCAAAACATCGGGATGTGCCGGTCTTGTCTGTTGGTGCAGGTGACGTCAGCTGGGATGATGGCAGGAACCATCGGAGACTCCATAGCCTTGGACCTGCTGCAGCAGGATCCTCAGTGCCGGTACTCAACGAAACCAGAGCCGAAAGATTAGCAGCGTAGCGAGGTAACAACGGCAACGATCTTTCGCACAGTTTCGCAGACGGGCAGCCTCTTTCTGACATCTTCCTGGCTCCAAGGAACGATCTGCTTCTGAAGGGCCGGCAGAGGTGCAGCTCCGATTCCCTCTGCCCTCTCTCTCCCCGTTTCGAGACGGAAACTGAAACCTCAAGAGCTCAAGAGGATCCACTGGCTCAGCGCTGCGTTGGCCCAGGAGCTGGTCCCGAAGGCTCGTGCTCTCCTTGTCCTCCGCTTCCGATCTTTCCCTGCGTTGTCGAGGCCTCCGAAATCACAATCTTGGAGCAGGCTGAGCAGCAGGGATGCGAGGAAGCGGCCGTTGCGCGTGCATGTAGGTGTCATCCGGCAGCGCCCGTTCGAACTTCAGTGCAGGAGCATGAAGTTCTCGCAGAGAATGCGGAGTTCACCGAGGATGTGGAGGCTAAAAAACGTGCACGCACATCACATGTCGTGTGTTGGATAGTCATTGTCTTGCCCACTCGAATATGCATATCCGTGTTTGCTTGCTTGCCAAACTTGCAACACAACTGCGCATGCCAGCATGCCACTTGCAATTTCCGATCAGGATGCAGAGCCAGAAGAAGCAGAAGATGCAGTGGAAGCGACAAGCTTACTTAGTTTGCTGATCAGTCTGTAACCGTTCATTTGTCATCTCATCTTCCTCTGGTTCCCTCTCTCTCTATCTTCCCTCTGTCTTTTCGCTCTTTTCCCCCTCTGCACATCAGATGACCCTGGCAGATTTGGGCATGTACCATACGTCCCTTGCTAAGACAAGGAGCCATTGCTTTCAGAACCAGCTGAAGATGATCCCCAAGATGACCAGCAGGCAGGTCGATGATAGCAAAGCCCGTCTGCAAACGCGGATGCACAGTCAGGGTTCCCATTCAACCGTGCGCTCCCACATCTTCGAACTTCCTTCGAGACACACACACACACACGCACACACAGACAGACACTCCACTGTTCTAAGCCATGTTTCCTGCCAGCCGTGGAGTACGGGACACAGAGGCCGCGCTCCCACAGATGGAGGAGGGAATAGCTGGTGCAGACTTCAGAGATGAGGCCGGACGGAGTTTGTTGTAGTTGGAGAGCTCGTAAGCCTGATGACGTTGTACTACAGACACAGGCGCTTCCTGCAGCTCCAAGCCAGGGCCACGACGGGACGTGCCTGCCTTTCGTGCTTTTGCTGGGACTCTCGAGGCGACAGCGAGAACCTTGGAAGCCTGGGAGACGGCAGCGGTGACCATCTCACCGTCGCGGCATCGGCCTTGGTCATCCGGCAGGTCTGCAGTCGAGGCTACCATTCGTGGGAGAGTGGCTTGACAACGGGAGACCCGAGCTCACTGCTCAGGATGAGAGCCTCGATAACGAGCTTTCGGAGGCGAAGGCTCGACGTACATCCAGAGGGTGTCAGTGGGCTTTGCAGGTATCTACCAAAAATGGTTGCGCGGAATGCGAGGCTCTGGAACACGTGGAACCTGTCCCTTTTGTGCAAAGCATAGACGAGATGGAGGAGGAGGAGGTGCGCAAGGCAAGTGTGGGAGCGCTTCAGCGTTTGTGGAAAGCGGTGGCTCCGACCATCGACGCAGGAAGAGCTGGAGCAGGAAGAGGTTCTGGAGATCACCAGCCGGGATGTTCCGCAAGCCCCGCGCCTGAAGTAGCTAGAAATCAGCTAGAAGCTTTCTGGGCGATTTGTACCAGCGCTGCCGGTTCTACTGACATTGGTGGGCTTCAAGAAGCATACTGGGTGGCTGCGCAGGATGGGGCAGCCACAGCGGAGCCACGTCGCATCCTTGCCATCGTGCCCGATCGCTGCAGCGATTGGCAGGCGCAACGATGTCATTGAAAATTCGGAGATGTCACCAGATTAAACTGCAGCAATGTCAGCCTGCAGTCAGTGTTTGCTACATTTCTCTGCCTTCACAGCTGATGATACTCGGTTCTGTTTGGGAGGTGGGAATGCTCAGCAAGTTGCTTGACATGGTCGGTGGCCGGGTCGAGCGTGAATCATCGTCGCGAGATCTAACAGGCAGCCCATGAAATTGCCCTAAGGCCCTAAGTTCACAGACGGAGAGATTCGCATTGTTGCACCTCCCGTGTGCCCCCCCCCCACCCCTCTTCCAAAGAATAAACTGACGAGGCGGAGATGATGCGTTGACGACTCCTCGAGTTCTGAAGCTGCTTGCACATGAGGAGACGGATCCACAGCCTGAGTCGAAGGAGGGCATCGAAACCCGCTCCGTTCGGATTCAATCCCTGCTCTCCGAAGGCCCGGGTGGAAGCATGACTCTCGAAATTCCGCTGGAAGCCAGTGTCGGAGAAGCTCGACAGCTGGTGACCACTCGCTGTGGCGGCGGAGCAGTGGGAGCTCACATCCGCATGGTCCGGCGCTTCACCAAGACCTTGTTCCTACCACTGAAAGATGAAGAGCTGGTCAGTGATATACTTGGAGAGGATGAGGAGCTACTCTTGTTGGGGGTAGACCTCGCTGGTGTGGAGACTGAGGAGTCGAGGTCGAAAGAAGTGGCGGAAGGGGAAGGCCCGCAAGGGACCGAGCAGCGCAAAGAAGACAAAGATGAAGCAGCGAGGTTTTTGATCGCGGCGATGGAGCTGATGGAGGATGCAGACGTACAGGAACACTTGATGGGCCTGCCCATGAGCTGTTCAACTGTGTTGGCTGAATGGGAACCGCCCTGGCTTCAAGATGGTGTTGATGACTTGGACGCGGCAGCCCTCAGCAACTTTCCTCCAGATACTGTCCTGGCTTGGGCGCAAAGCTTCTCGGACCTCATCGATACCATGGCACGTAGGCTGCACTCAGACGAAGGCGATGAAGTTGAAGAGGTTGAAGATGTTGAAGACCTTGATGAGGAGGTTCAAGAAGTTGAAGAGGTTGAAGAAGTGAAAGACATTGAAGTTGAAGAAGTAGAGGAGGTTGCAGAAGTTGCAGAGGTTCAGGAAGTGGAAGTGCTTGAGGAAGCAAGAGATATGGAAAAAGCCGCGGTGCCGGAGGATATCCCGAAGGAGGAATCAACAGAGCCTTCGCACACTGAAGCTCCGGAGCCGGATGGTAACTTCAAGGACGTTTTATCAGCGCAAATACCAGCCGTCTGCAAACATCACTGTACACCGAGCTGCACGGAAGGATACCATCCAAAAGGTTTCGGAGGACATCGCAGAGGCTGCATTGATCTTTTCCTCATTGCAGACCGCAGAACCAATGTGTGCACAGTGATCTGTCTGACGGGTTGCAGGCGATGCCTGTTGAGCCGGAAATGGAACCCGAGCAAGAGCCCGACGAGGATATGCCAAAACTTCTATCAACTTGCCAGTTCGCCGAAGCGTTACTGGAAAGGTTAGCTGGCGCTAGTTGCATGCCGTTGAGCACAAGTGAGTCGACAGTTATGACCTTGCTGCTGGCAGGACGAAGAAATCGTCCTGGTTGTTGTCGAGTTGGAGCATGTCGCGCCCTGGGATCCAGCATCTGTGAACCCTAAAGAGGCAAGCGCGAGCTTGAGGCCACCACAGCGGAGCGGGTGGCCGTTGCCGTTCCGTCATCCTGCAAGCTAGGAGAGGTCGGAAGACCACCACGCTTGCAAGACCAGGGGATCCCTTGCTTCGCAAGGTCAAGCTGGCACTGGCCTCCACCTTGGGACTGCAACGAGCCGGGCACTCAAAATAGACAGACCGGCTGAAGCAGAGACTATGCGATTCTGAGCGGAGCCGAGGCCGACAGCCTGCAGATTACATCGCCGGAGGGCGCCTTGCGCCAAGTCTGCTCTCTTTTCAGAAGATCGCGAAGAAGAGATCTGTGAAAGTGCGGATACCTAGCTGAGGCCGTGACGTACCCTGATCACGAGACTTTGGGAAGCAGGCCTACCACTACGTCGCTACAGAACAGAGCATTGGGGATCGTGATGACGTGAGGCGACGGCTCACTTTCCGAGGTCCAGAGGCCCTGTCACAGCCTTTCGATTGTGAAGCTTCGTGGCAGGGAGTTGAGTCAGTCAGCGCCGGCCCATGTTGGCCCTGTTGCTGCAGCCCATGGGCAACGCTTAGTCTGCAACCCTAAACTCGGCAAGCCGAACCCCGAACCACAACATGGCGATCAATAATCCAGCACACAGCACAAAGGTTGCGAGTCTTCACAGCCATGGTTTGCACTGGTCAAGAGTTTAGGGATGTCTCGGAGGCGTAGGTTTTGTGAAAGATATGCACACGTAAAGCAGAATTGATGCCAAAGTTGCATCATAGATCGCAATGGGACGATCCAACAAGAAAGGAGACTCGACGAGTGCAGATTCTTTCTAAGCTTTCATCCCTTCAATCTGAAGTTGTCTGAAGCCGTCGCACACTGGTGGACTTGAGTGTCGCAACTTGCTGGAAGGACTGTTTGCGTACACGAAGGATGGCTTCGATGCCATCTTCGCGCTGGACAACAGAAGCCTGGTTGCATTGAAGCTCTTGACATGTTAAGGCCAAAAAGTCGATTTCGAGCTGAGAGATGCATTGTCAGTGCCCTTCGTTGCATCGCTATTGCTGAAGCTCGCGGTTTTTGAACAGCTTTCAGATTCAAACTGAGGCAATATCTATGCAGTCATCCTCTCAGAGATGATCTCAAACACCTTCAAGGAGGGCATGTGGTTCAAAGCGCTTACACCGTACATGCTGATCATCACTGACAACGCACCCGTCTCAGCTGTGCGCTAACCCCCGCCTCGCCAAGACAGGGAGGTTGTTAGCCGGAAGAGCCCAGGATCCGATTGCCGTCGGCAACATGATGACATTGAACGGGCTTACCAGAGCTTTCGTAGGCACGGGATGGCACAGGAACAGTGAGCGCCGCGGGTAAGGCATGCCTTTGCGTTGTGCAGTGCAGGTGTTTCTTCCGGAAGGCTCCTGATCAACAATTTCGGCATTGACACAGCGCGCTGTCTGATCTGTTCTTCTTGACTTTCTGTCGGATGTGGCGGAGCATGATGGCAATCTTTAAGGTGTGGCTTCTGAGCGGCATGGTGGGCTTGCTGGGTCTCATGGTGAATGCTGGGCACTGAGAACCCGAGAGGGGTGCATAAGCATCTGCACTGGATGGCACGTCACCGCGATCGCCAAGGTGATCTGCCTGTGTCAAGGCTCTGTTGCGGCGGCCTATGTGCTGAACTTCACCTGGGCAGCGTTTGCCTGAGATCATGCTTGCAGTCATCGCAGGAAGAGCGACAGACGGCAACAGAAATCTACCAGAAATCCCCAATCTCCGATCTGAAATAGGTGCAGCCACAGGGTCAGGGTAAGATGGCGAGAGTAGGTGCAGCAAGGAACACAGGGCAGGGTTAGGGGCCACGAATCTCGCTGAGGTGTACAATGGGCTCTGGAACTCCTGCTTGGAGACTTCTTGGGCTCGCTCCATCATCAAGAGCAAGAGGGCCCCTTTGACTAGTGACTAGTGCTGGCATACTGTCGCTACTGTACATGTGTCTCTTCTGTTCAGGAGGATGTCAACGGAGCCAGGCAGATTACCAACAAGGTCACGACTTCCTTGGGACCGCTGATCTCGGCCGTCGTTGCCTCGGCTCCGGAGATCTGGACCAAGGGAGGTAGGATGGGAGTGCTGCAGGCCATCTTCCTCTACTGCGGCAACCGTTGGGACCCATTTTGCCTTGTTTCGCCTACTACGGAGGTTTGTCTTCAATGCATACCGCCGTTCCTCTATTGACTCTACTGTTCCTTGCAGGACGTGTCACTTGTACAAAACGTGATGCTCCTGGGCACGGCGATGACTGGCTTTGTCGAAGCTTGCAAGCAAGAAGGGATTGTCTCGAACCCGCCAGAATTTTTTTGTGTTTTGCTCACGTGGCTACTTTATTGGTATTAGTGACTAGTGACTAGTCGCTAGTAGCTAGTTTTCCTTTCGCTATGACTCGTTGTCCATGCGCAAGGGGCATCACCTGTCTAAGGTGGCTATGTGCTTCTGCTTCCGTAGCTCCCTCGAAATACAACAGGCCTTGCACGCAAGTCTGCAGAATGCAGAGCTCCCTTGTCATGTCGAGCTTTGCGTTCTTTTGCGATTCTGCATCTTCGCCAGGATCTGGCACTGAGGGAGATCGAGAGCATACAGCTTCTCGGATGTCTTGCGCAGTCCTTCACCACTACTTGTTTTTGTTGAAGTCCTTTGGCCGGCGCTCGCTGGACACGTGTTATCAGTTTATCAGTTTCGTCAGTACGACATGTCACCGGAGGTTTCCCGAGTTGCCAGAAGATGCGGGACTTGCTCTCAGCTCAGAGGCCGGGTATGAGTTGAGTCAAGTGTGACTCTCACGGCCTCTATTTGACGCCAGGCGCCATCTACAAGCATCACCTTGAGACCGGAAGTTATGAGTCAAAAGGATTTCCTTGCAGATGATGATGGCTATGCTCCGCTCTCAATTATGCCAGCGGCGACCAAGAGTGGCTGAAGTCCAAGCCCTGCATAGCCAAGAGCCTCTGACCTTAGAGTCGCCGAACAGTGGTCACACTTACCAAGTCCCCTCTACACTTGAAGTAAGAACCCCATAGTGTTGCCACGAGCTGCACACCATGCCATGGGCTGCAAGAGCGGTCACTTAGGTCATGCTAACGTCGCCTCTTGGAGGGAACTCAGATTCATGGGCTTCGCGCATTCGCCCGCTGGCAGACTTCAGATTCCGCACCCACATGGCAGCGAGACAAACCTCCATCGACTTGTCCATCTGAGGCATAGTAACCACGAGTTACCAGGAGACGCCGCTCATACTTGTCAAACAGCAGCCTGGTCGCAGCTTTTCGGAGTTTCGTGGGAAAAGCCAGCACTGCTGAGCCAAGTGTCACGAAGGTTCCGCGCAGCCTTGAGGGCAGTGCCACCCGATCAGACTAATAGCGCCGTCCCCAGTACTGGTATGATGTGTTACACGAAGGTTAAGCAGGATGGCTTGAGTTCAGGTGTGCTTCGCTTCTGTGATGCCTCGCGAGCTCCTGCCGCCGTGCAAATCGAGTCGTTGGAAGTCTATCTCTGTCAGGCTCCTTGCTTGGATTTGCATGTGCATTGTCAGATGAGGACCGCGTATCGTTTCAGGTCGACGAAGCCTCCGACGATCCTGCACCGGTTGACCTGCGAAGGAGCACCCCACCTGAATGTCTGCACTCCGAGCCTCTCACCGTGACCTTTGACTTCATCTGAGGTTCGATCCGCTTTAGCGTGGACTGCACAGAAACTTCGAAGCTGAAGCCAGCGCCATCCTTCGGGCACATCCTGTGGGGCCTCGTTCTGGGAAGCTAGCCTGCAACTCTCGTCTGCAGGCGAAGCTCATATTACCTTCTAGTGTGTCCTGCTTCCAAGGAAGCAATGCTCAAGCACTGCACGGACAAGGTCTGCATGTGTTAGTTCTGCCCCATCCAGCATGAAAACGTCGGAGTGGCAGCCTGACAGGACTGGAGGAAAGCCTGCTGGCTGCTGCCCAGCGAGAAGGCCTGACAGTGGGAATTCGTGCCTGCCTCCGCTGTGCTCTGCGATCAGCAAGCAGCCGTGAGCAACCAAATCGTGCGGTAGTTGAGGAATGTGTGTGTGTGTGCATATACTACATATGCACCTAATATATACTGGATATGTATAGTATAATATCATATAGTGTATAATATAATCTAATCACAGATATTCATGTCCAGGATCTCGTGGCTCTTTGTGCTCGACGTTTGTCAGCACCAAGCTCTACTGCATGGCTACATGAGTCGGGAAGGGCCTGTCGCTTGTCGCATTTTGTGAGTTTCGCGTGGCATCGCGTGGCCAAGGAAGGGGAAGACTGCAACGGAGATTCTGACTCCGAAAGGGCCGAAGCGAGGTGATGCGTCTCAACCAGCACGAACAAATATGCTGGGAGCAAACATCATTGTGTCTTCGTCTGCACTGGGCATGAAGTTTTCAGCCAGCCGCCGCGACATGCTGCGCTCGTCTTGGGCCTTGCTGCTTCGGCAAGTGTAGAATCAGGTACAACTTCGGCTTCACAGTCAAGTAGAGTTGTCTGGGTGAGGTCACTTGCGATGTTCTGAATGCGCTCGGTGCTGGGTTCTCGTTGAAGTTTATCGACCTGTTCCTCAAGGTCCGCAAGCACACATGGGTTGTATGTGTGGGGTAAGCTATGTACACGATGCACGTGTCTCCATGAGAGAACTCGTGCAGATGTCTGGACATGCTGGTTTGGCGGTTGGCAGGTGGACTACGGGGTGTCTCCAGCAGGCAGGCAGTAGTGACATGTGGTGTGATGTTGTAGCGATCGAATTGTACCAAGTTCCTCGCAGTTCGGTGAAGCCTGAGGTGTTTTCCTTGTGGCATTCTTGCAGAACATTTTGGGAGCCTGGCTCACACCGGTGTCAAAGACGCTGCTAGCCACTTCGCAAGACTTCAGCATTTTATGCCTGAGCCCTTTTGTTTGGCACAGGACGGAGTACCAGCGTCCCACTCGCCCCCCCCAAAAAAAGACAACTGTCGGCTTATGAGGGCCAGGATTGACTTTGCTCAATGATGTGGAAGGATATGTTGTGTTGATTGGACCAAGCTTGGGATTGTTTTTTGCCCTCACCTGCACGGAAATGCGGAGACTAATCATTGGTGCTGCTAAGGTCCGACTGCGGGCCGAGGGCTACCGTGCCAAATTGGGCGTCGTCCCTGCTTCGCAAAAGCAGATCCCTTTGTCTCCAGTATTGGCTCCTATCACACTCGTGCTGATGAAACCTCTCCAAGGCCAGAGAATCAAAGAAACAGGCCTAACAACATAAGCTTGCAGAAGGCTTTCGATGGCTTGACTCTCCCGCAGTGTGGAATCCCAAGAACACAGAAGTGAAGGCATCGACATCGAACTTGTCTGTAGAGTGTCTGCGGCTGCTTTCTTGTCTAGCTTGCTCGACTGCTAGAGTTACCATAGTTACCGCGATAACAGCCCCGCAGAAGGCTGTGAAGCCAAGCGCAGCTCAGGTGTTTCTGTGGTCTCTGGCCCTCTTCTTTCTGGCCTTGGTGTGCATTCCAGGAATGCCACTGTGGGTGGTCGTACCTTCCATCGTCCTCATGCAGTCGCTGAACTCTTGTACACGTGCTTTCAATCGGGCGCAGCTAATCAACTTCCTCCCGCGCGAAAAAATCGCAACGTACATGACCCGCGCTCAGTTGAACACGGCTCCGAGAAGCGGACTTTTGAATGCGAATTGAAAGCGAGACCTCTCAGGACTTGGGATGCGCTGAACAAGGCCAACCAAGGTGGAATTGCGATCTTTGGAGCCCAGGTCGTTGCATTCGGTGGCTATCGGGGATGTTTCATGGGCACCTTCTTGCTGCTGTTTCTTCGCACCTCGGTAGCTAACGCAGAGAAGTGTGAGGAAGGGTACACTGAGTCCCGATCAGGCAGTCCTTTCGGAGGCTGCTCCTTTGCTGCTAAGGTATGCTCATCTATCTGGCATTTACGCTGAGAAAAGGCACGGTTTACAGAGGCCGCCACCCGCACTTTCTGATTACCCTTCTACCGTAAGCAGGAGGCGAAGACCTACAGCCCGTCGTCGTGCCAATGTGTGTTCACGTGCTCACAGACTGTACGGCTCGGTCTCCCAAGAAATCGGACGCCTCTCGTGTATTATTCCCAGTCATGACGCAGCTCCGGGTCTTCAAAAGTGGCCCCCACAACTTGGGGGATGCTTTTCATGATCTCCTGTGATTTGAGATCCTCGTGAAGAAAGGGGAGGCATGCTCCAGCAGCATATAGTCATCATAGCGCAACAGTCACTGATACGATAGTATATGAACCTTGTGATGTGTATTTTAGCTTTGATTAATTGAGTCCGGAAGGAGGATGGTGTTGCCAGGTGGCTACTTGCGAGAGCTCGAGCCGCGCCTGCCGACAACGATGTCTGAGCAGTCAATGTCCTTCACCAAGTCGACGAGCGAACAGGAATAGTACTAAGAATATGGCTTCGTGTGTTTCTACCTAGAGTGCATTGGATTCCAGTGACTGTCAGAGACGTCTGGGATAGGCGCGACTGCCGAGGCTTACTGCCGAGGATCTCAACTGTGCCTCACTTGGACATTGGAGACATAGGGGGCGGGGAACAAAGAGGTCGAGGTCTCTCTCGGCCCGAGCAGCTAAGGTGTCGAGAACTTGCGTGCGCACTTCGACGGCGATCAGGATGTGCTGCTGTGCGTTTTGGTTCAGGATGCATAGGATGGAAATGCTATGAAATGGTTGAAAGGATGTGAAGGCTCTGTGAGAGCCCGAGAGCCCGCTCGCTTCCCCAGGAGTCGCAGATGTTTCAGCCGGCGGAGGCCTTGGCTCTGGCCTCTGAGAACCCTGCCAAGCTCCGATACAGTGGGCAGGCCGGGCAAAGTGCTCGCTAGCTTTGCTTCGCAGTTTTTGGGCTGTGGATGTTCTGTGACACAGGGTGAGCTGCTCGAAGTGCAAGGTGTTGCCGCTGGTTGGCAGTGCTTTCATACTGAGTTGAAGTATTGGCGCATCATTTCCCAGCCGCCCTCCCGAACCTTAGCCTAAGGAAGAGCTTCTCTTCGACGAGAACGAGGAGCAGAGGCCGGTGCTTCTGACGACGGCTGGTAGCTGATCGTCGCAAGATCTGTTCCAGACGCCAGGGCGCCATCACGGCGGGGTACCAAAGAAAGACCGCTGAATGTGTGACCTGACTCAGCTCCGGGGAGTGCTGTGCAAAACGCACGACGCAGCCGGGGTTTGATTTCATGCCAGATTCGAAGACAATGGCCGGCAGCGGGAGAACCATCCCGCGCCATCGATTGAACAAAAAAGCTTCAGGAGTTCGTTGGCAGAGGTGTCTCATGACTTATGGCCTCTCACAGTAAACTCCAAGTTCGGACGGAATGGGATCTGCTCAACCCACACGACAGGGAGAAGAAGATGATGATGACGAAGTGATCGACGTCATCGACTAAAGTAGACAGGTAGACATCTGCATCCACAGCGGCACATGCTGCGTGCTGAGTTGCATGCCTTTTCCGCAACGTACTTGGTGCTTGCTCCTAAGCACCTGTGCGTGTCCACGTAGGTAGATCAACTTTTGGCTTCAGCCCTGAAGCTTCTGGTGCAGCGAGCGCCACTTTCGTCATGCAAGTCTCCAAAAGTGAGACAGCGAGACATTAGGCTAGTCGTTTGTGCACGACTTGCTGTTCATGATTGCCAGGGCACGCGCATGTCTGTCGTGCCCTGTAGTTCGTAGGTTTTCAGGAGGCGCAATTTTCATAATTTTCGGAGCAGCAATGGCAAGCATGCCCTCGCGCTGCAAAAGCATATGCAGATCTGCGAATAGATGCCGACGCTTGTCTTCCCTTGTGGATGCTGTTGTTTGGAGATTACGGTCTCAATCTGAGGCGTTCGGAGAATGTGGACTTTAGAGTCATTGGCTTTTGCATGGTCGTTTTGTTCATGCATGTCTGCACTTATCGTCACTTGTAAGCTGAACTTGTTGCGATCGTCGTGGCAGCACGCCTGCTCTTGGACGATGCTGACACTTGAGTTCACTTGCCGCCATCTTGGTTGCATAGCAGAGCCAGTGATGATATGGAGAGAACCGATATATTCCTGAATCTTGCCGGACTGAAGTAAGGCATTATTACTGCACAGATTAGACTTGGCAATTGTCAAGGACAGCTCAAAGTCACACAAGTCGCGAAACACCTGCCTTCTGTAGCTGCATCGTTCGGAGATGTTCGGAGCGCCATCCTGATGTCTCATGAGCATGCCTGTCAGCACCTTGCGCCTTGACGTGCTCTCACACCTATGTTCCGCGGCAGACGAGGGTAACCATCAGGCAGCATCACAACTGCTGCCATTCGTGTGCCTTTGTTTTCAGCAACCGCCGGCCCTAGCCGCGTCATTTAAAAGTGGCACGGGCCGGCCAGACTTTGCGCTGATCAATACGACGATCTCAAAGCTAGCTTCCTTTCATTCATCCACGGGACCCGAAAGCAGCACCGCGCTCTCAGTAGCCACAGTTGCCGGTGATATCATGGAGTCCATTTCTGTGGGTCTTTGCTCAGCACACGCGGAGGATGAGGACAGGGAGGAGAGAGAGGATGCAGAGATGGAACAGGCAAAAGAGTCTCAGGAGCACTGCGAGGAGGGTCAGCCGGAGCAGTGCATTTGGTTGCTCAGCTTGCTCGCCGCTTCGTTGCCATTGATGGCAGACTCGCTGCCAGAGGACGATCGCGGAATGTGCGTGTTACCCCATCAGCACAGCATGGACCTGCAGAACGCTGATGATTTGTGCATGCCGATGCGACTCTGGAATGGCCGACCTGCATACGATACGCAGAAGATCTGTGATCGGTGCATGGAAGCCATTCAGGAGCGCGAGTTCTACCACTGCTCAAGGGACTGCGACGTGGATTTTTGCAGAAGCTGTCATGCAGAACTCCAGGCAGTTCTGGATAAGCACTTTACCGCACGAAGCTCGAGGATACCTGTCACGCACTTGGTTGAGCGCATGGCATGGACGATGCATGCGGCTGATGAGCTTGCTTCAAAGATCTTGCAAAGAACAAGTCGAGAACGTACGCTGCTGGCTCGCCTGCTTGCTGAGGAGTGGCCCCTAGAGATGTTTTCAATGCTCGTTGCTGCCATCGTTGACGTGTGCAATGCGAAAGTGTTGTACAACTCATCGAACGGAGCGATTACATCCTCTGTTCGACGTTCCTTCATACACGAGCAAGAACCATATCAGCAGCACTCCCAGCCCATGTACGAGGATGATTCATTCTGGACAACAGTTGGTTTTCTCCAATTCCTGTATGCCAGCAACATGCTTCGCAAGGACTCGCATGTTGGCTGCGAAGGCGAACAACGTCCAGCGGTCAACGCGCTGAGCTTTGTACCAGAAGCGATAAACCAGTGCAGGCCCGAGGTGGAATGGGAATACTGGAGCGCCCACGCGGCGACGGTGACACATGCTCTTCCGAACATACTGTCTGACGATTTCTCAACAACGTCGCCCGAGTTTCGGTGCCTAGCCGCTCATACCAACATCCTGCCGATAAACTTCCGGAGGAGCTGTGCAGTTCTAGATGTACGTCACTGCATCTGTTCTGGAAATTCCTGGCCACAATTGCTTCCACGACGGGTGACCATCCGCCGTGAACCCGAGCTTCTCGTCGCCGATCTAGAGGTTTTCCTATCTGAAGCAGACGAAGCTCCAGAGCCAGGAACCATGGAATTCACATGCGCTGAGCCAAGCGTTGCGGAGATGGAGAGGGATGCAGAGCCCGAAGTCGCGAGCCGACAGCCAGCTCGTGCGACTTCCCTTCAGCAACCGTTCCACGTCACATTCCAGGGTGAAGATGGGCAAGGCCCTGGAGTCAGGAAGGAGTTCTTCCACGCACGAGCCTGAACTTGCACGTCATTCGGACGCTAGCTGTCTGAAGTCCCTGCCTGCCCCAAACCGAAGGTTGCCACGCGCGCGTTCCTCTCCCTGTTGTTCGACGAAGTCTGCAGCCGCCAGTGCACCAGCTTAATTTGCGCCGAGTCCGGATGGGCCGGTACTTCTTTTCAGCATTCTGCACAGGTACTGGTTTAGGAAGGTTGACAGACCAGCGGCCTTCTTTGCCATCGACTGAGCTATCCCATACATTCAGCAGAGCAGCAGCTTGCAAGTTTCCAGCATGTTCCACGTTGCACAAGGCATTTGGAGCATTGCTGGGCCACGCCATCGTGCATGACGTGCCTGCCTGTCTTGAATGTGTCAATTGAGTTCGTGCGCGCTCGTCTCTCTGGGTTAGTGCGTTTACTAACCCCGCAAGGTGCTGATGCCAACTGCGTTTCCTTGGCTCTGCCCTTAGTACCACGTGAACACGCAGTGAAGTGAACTGACTCAGTCGAAGGGTGAGCAGAACGAGGACCCTCTTTGACTTGCTGTTGCTGGACCTGGGGGCGCCGTGCACTTCCCGGTTTTTCTGGGGACTTGGCTTCCGATGTAAAAGAACGGAGCCTCGAGGAATGCAAGCGGCCGCCTGAGCCTTTCCCACCTGGCGGCCGTGCTTCCAGAGGAAGCGCACAGCCATTCTGCTCAGACTTCTCGCGGGTGCTTCTTCTTACATTAGAATCGCTTCAACCCCGTCTCCTGGCGAAAAGGTCTCCGGCAAATTCTGGAGTACCAGGCACTGAACACTTTGTGAACCTTTGCAGTCCCATGGGGCGTGCAAGCGTGTTCCATCGCGTTCCCAGGGCTCGGACCTTGAGCAGCACTTCGGAGAGCTTGGCTGGGAGAGGACGGGAAGGCCAAGCGGTCCTTTTGGATACTTGCTGGGCACTGGGCAACGACCCGCCGTTTTTGTCCCAGGCTGAAAGGCCAAAGCCTTTCACAGGCGGCACAGCCGGGAGCGTTGCTCAAACTGTTTCTGATCATCTCTCTGCTTGTCTAGGCCTCTAAGAGCGATTTCGTGAATGCTTACATTGACTGGCACCGGCCCTGATATCGACGGCGTCACGTGAGCGGCCCTTGGCTCCCAGCCTAAGGCGCCTCCGTGACGATATCGAGGCCCAGTTCAAGCCCTTCAGTCGTGGATTCAAGCAGGCTCTGTTCGGAACTGCGACAGTGACAGCGGCATGCTGAGAAGTCTCGTTTTGACCATGGAGATCGAGATGAGGTTGTTGGAGATTCACACATGCTTCGGCTGCTGGACGCCGAGCCATCGGCTTGGCTTCTCCTCTCACTACCACGTGCCACGCGAATTTCTGGCGACTGAGGCAGCTTGAGTGGATTGCCGGGATCTTTTGAAGTCCTGCCTGGGCCTGGAGTCTTGGTAAGATTGCGAAAGCAGCGCCAGGTCTCCGGTGCTCAACGCCCCGTCCCTCGTCCTTCAAGCAAGTCGACTTGAGTCTTGGTGTAGGCTTACAGCTTGGCGAACACCATGCGCGAGCAGGTCGACATGGCTGCAGTGCGAAGTCGTGCCGATCACGAGGGCTGGACTTTGGAGGCTGAATTGCCTTGCTGATTTGAGTGTCGAGCTACTACTACAGTAGCTTGCACTTCGCCGCACAATGCTGCAAAGTGTGCTTACGCATTGTTGGAACAATCTACAAGAAGCAGTGGGCAGGAAATAACTGCCTACCTGGACCCATTCTGGAAGTTTATCGAGGGTTTGGCTGAGGACAGCGTGGGAGCTAGACTATCAAGCAGGAAGCATTTCAAACCTTTGCTTTGACCTGTGTAATGCCTTAACACTGCCTTGACTTTTGATGGAGTCTGTCTGGAATGGGACCACGGCCACGAGTTCAGGGATTCCCTTCAGGTGGCAGAGGGAGGGGGAGGGCTTTCGTACCGTTCGGTGTTCAAGCACTGTTTCTTACTATAGCCGCTATTGGCATGATGCAAAACTATGCCAAAAAGAAATGGCTGGTGTGCCTGCTTGAATTCCAGGCGGGCCACTGTGTGTGTTGGCTTGTTGCGTTTTGTGCATTGCATTTTTGTGTATTTGGTCTGTGCGGTTTTTGTGCTTTGCGAGAGGCAAGCAACTGTGCCAATTTTTCAGACACAACGAACAAACTGCATCAAAAACGCAGAAAAGCACAACAACATCCAACCTGGTTCGAAAAATCATGGCAAAGCACATCTGCTTGCTCAGCGCCAGCCCCGGTCTCCGGCAGCGGGCCGCGGCCGCGCCGTGGCGCACCGCACACGCCATGCCTCGAATGCAAAAATATGTAATTCCGGAGCACAAAATAAACGCAAACGCAAGAAAAAGCAAACGCGAAACGCAAAAACGATGGCAAATCCGACACACAATCATGCGCAAAAACAGGAAAGCATGAACCCGGAGGACAAGAACCATGCACAGCTTTTGCAAACCATGTTTCTGATCATCTGCCCAGACAGTGGCCCAGTGATTCTTATAAAACTATGCTTGTAAACATAGTTCGAGTTAAAGTGATGTCAAAGACAGTCCACAAGAAAGGGTTATGCCAACAGACGCAGTGGCATTCCAGATGTCGTGCGAAGTCTGCATGCAACTGCAGCGAGAACAACTACCCTCAGAGTTTGCGAACAAGCAGTGTTCAATTGATGCGAGGAGCACTGCGACCCGTGGTCAGTAGGTCGTGGGGCTTGCTCACGTCGGTCGCAGGAGGAGAAGAAGCGATTCCTCGTTTTCGTGACTGCCTCTGACCGAATGCCTGTGCGAGGCGCTAGGTCAAGGGGGTCAGGGATGTTGAACTTCACCGGAGTTCATGGGTCTTTCAAGTCCCAGTTGCCGTACATGCAGGATGGTCAAGTCTGCGCCTCCTCGTCCAGAAGAATGGTGCCGGGGACGACAGGCGCGGCGAGAAATCGCATCCTTTGCCCCCAGAGCTCCATATCCAACCTACCAAGCAGCTTGCACGTCAAACCAAGCCTTCCTGTCCAATAGCTTAGGGACACATTGTCAGCAAACTACAGCTAGCAAAAACCGGCTCGTTTTTTCTGGCTGCTGCTTTGTCAAGCTGAGCAGAAGGTATCAACAGAAGAGACAATACGAAGCACAGGCTGCCAACTGCGTATACGTGTTTCTCACTTCTCCTGCTCCCTCTCTACAGCAGCGTGGAGGCCGAGTGCAGGCAGGTGCTGTCATCCTGTCAAGCAGATCAAGACGCATGAGGTGCTGAAAAAGAACATGCTGCTGGCCATCACGAACTCAGAGGGGTTTGGCTTGAAGTGACGCCAAAGAAAGGGCTGCTGGTGACTATTGCAAACTTCAGTAGCATCAGAAGCCTTTGCTGCGTGTGCTTCGCATCTGTACATAGCTCTAGTGCTCCATCAATAATTGCGAGCTGGTATCTGCTGGCCAAGATTTGGCCGGCTTGGTGCAACACTGACTTCGTCTGTCGGTGGAAGACCATTGATTCAAAAGCTTGGCCGATTGCAGGAAACTGACTGCCATGGCATCCCGTGGCCCAGGGGTTGGAGGCGGTCTTTCGGATGTCACTATCGTGTCCGATCGCTGCAGCCAGCAGCTCTGAAGATGCAAACACTTGACTGCACAGTTGGCGAACTAGTGTAGCACACGGCATTGCTGAATCTGCTGAAGTTGCGGGCACTGCAAGTGATTGCATGCTGGCACGATGCGACTACGTAGGCACTCGCTGCATCTTCGGCCGTGAAGTGAGTGTGTCCCACTACATCAGCAACATTGCATGTACGAGTGTTCGAGCGTCGTACTGCCTTCAATGCTTGGTAGTGCAGCGCAGATAAGACCGACAACAGATGCGTGATATGCCTTTTGGTTCTCATGTCCCATGGCTTCACCTGAGGCTAGGTGGTGGGGGTTGGAGTCTCCTGCTCGCAGATGTGACTTGTACATGCCCTTTGTCTTTTCAAGGTCGACCCACCCACTGGAGTGCCAAAGACCTTGCACTCCTGGTGGAGTCGTGCGAGCCTTACCGCAGAGACTGCTTCATTCAGACATGGACTGCCTCTGGCAACTTGTATATCCTGCTGCGCCACGGCATGCGCCTGTGCACCATTGATCCGTGTCTCAACCATGCCCGCCACTGCGCATCCGCCGCGCCCCACTCACGTCTACTCTACTCCACACGCACCACATGGCAGCACATCATCTTGAGCAGTTGAACTCGACAAGTAAGTGGTTTCCTGATGCTGAAGCGGCCCCTGCTGCGCAAGAGCTTGCAAATACTTTGCCCACTTCTTACATGTTGGATCGTCATCTCCAGGCAAGCAAGCCTGCCATTCGTGCAGCTAAGGCTTAGCCTGTGTTTGAACGCACTCCCCTACAGAACGATCATGTCTTCCAGAACGATCATGTCTTACCTTCCATTTGTTCAGATGCGCCATATTGGGTGTGGAACCGCTACAGCAAAGATGACGAACCACCGAAGAGCCCATTTCAGAGCCCATTTCCCAATTGGGCCAACGAAAAGGTATGAGCTTAGCTCTCTGCTTCACGACGGTAGCAATCGGACACCTTCCGCATCACTTCGGAGGGCTGCAGCAATCAGCACAAGAGCGGTTCTCATGGCAAAAACCATGACATGTAGGTTCCCAGTGTGAGCGCGGAATCCATTTGTTTAGAAAGCTTTGAAGCTCCTGGAGCATCGAGGAGTTGACCCAGATGAGCTGGACCGGGTGCGGCTTCCAAGATGCGATCTGCGAATTCCAAGTTCAATTGTTGCCCAGCACAGTGGCCACTGCAGGCCACTCACGAGTCCGGACGACTGGAGGTCAGCATTGTATGAGAATGGATGAGAGCACCGCTTAGCAGACCTATCCTGGAAGGTGTTGAGACACCTGGGTACTCTGGTGCGTACAGGCAGGGAGCTGAGAGTGAAGCGAAAAAGATCCTGGCACGAGAGCTCGACTCGAGGCAAGTCTGTGCTGGAGCTGGGCTGTGGCTCCGGACTCCTTGCGCAGGAGGCATCTTGCACTGCGCTAGGAACTGACCTTCGAATCAGTAGCTTCCAAGGCTAACCGTCGAGATATTGTCGGAGCCGGGGGCTTGTCAGTTTGAGGCTGAGGGCAGTGTTAGTCAGGTGAGCTGGACTTAGGTCGACATGTGCCCCGCAATGGCGCAAAAGGCGCCATGTCCCTGAGCTTCAACTCCATGCGTCCCACGGAATGCCGCACAGAGATACACACCAGGTCGACGCGGATGGATACAGTGGTGAGGGAAAACATGCTGGAATTTTATCCTGCTGACAGCGGGCAACTCAATTGCTACAGGAGTGATTGGTGAAGCGTTGCATTTTCGTCATTGCAAAGTGACAGGCCCCGACACAGTCGTGCTTGCGAATGTTCTGGAGCCGTATTCAGCCGAGGCAGCACCTTCCGAACACCTGTGTAAAGTAGGATCCTTCATAGCAGGTGAGGAGGCTGCTCCTTGCACAGATCTACGACTATCTGCTGCCTGGAGGGTGCTCGGACTTGCACTGCTCGGAGGGAGACCCAACGTTCTTCCTTAAGACTGCCATATTCATTGAAACGGTGCTATGGCGAGAAACTGCCAACGCAGTCTTCCGAGGATTCCCTACAAATTTACTGCAAGTCACAAGCGGGTATTTATTAGGCGCCTTGGCAATTTGGACCCCGGTGGTAAGCACCGGTGTAGCGGAACGGCACGATTAAGCTCGAATATTGCCGATAGGTTGTCGAGGACATCATGTACGGACCGAAGCAGGGTTTGTACTGTAAACTACTTGCTCCCGTAAGGATGGTACGCATACATTGCACCACTTCCTTCTCATGTCTTGCGGTTTTGCATGCAGCTTATGGAAGCAAGGGGCGCCATGACCCTGCCATTGATCTGTCAACTTCAACATTAGACAGTCGTGGTCACTTCAGGGCCAGAGCTGATTTGAGTCGGAAAGCTCGTTGTATGCACGCCTTGGTATTGTGCACACGTGTCGCTCATCCATGGTCTGGTGTCATAAGCTGAACAGTTGCAACCTCCACGATTTGCTCCGTAGATGGCAGCACCAAGACACCGAGGCAGATAGTTCTCGCCGTTACGGTGGGCGAAACCGGCTTGGGCAGCTCGGCAAACCATCCTGCGCGCCTCAGTTTCCTGGCCATCTGCGGTGGTGAGGAACCTCGTCAGAGTCGATCTTGGATCTGGTTTTCCCGAGCGTTCTTGCCTCAGTCCTACGCTTGGCTCTGGGTGTGCACAGTGCACGGAGCAATCGAAGTGCTTCAGGCACCGCCCATGCAGGCAGATGAGATAGAGGACGACCGCTGCAACTTAAGTGAAGTCATGAAGTGGTCTTTTGAAAATCAGACGGATTCCGCCAGTCAGATGGGATGGCTCACTGCATGAGAATGCCTCTGTTTCTTGCAGGAAGACCTTCTTCTTTCTGGATTCGACGTGGTAGTGCCAGAGCTTCTGTGCATCAGACGAGAGCGAGAGGCGACGACTACAGGGTCTTTGAGTCATTGACGTGTTCGCATATCTTCCCATACAACGATAGAATCGGCATGCATTCCAGTAGGGAGACACAAGCAAGCTCTTTCTCACGCAGCGTGAATACCAAACAGGTTCTTGCCTGCATGCAGTTGCTCCTAGAGCACTTCCTAGAGCCATAGTGGCACAATTCTTCACCTCAAACATCACATCCTGTGGCATGTTGGGAAGTCACAGAAGCATCGGCACGCATCTACAGTCATAGCCGGGCCAGTGCCGCTCGAGCAATGGCGTTCCGATTCCGGAGAGAGGGGGATTTCATCAAGCACAGGGTGCACATGGAGCGTGGCGACCTCAGATGTTCGGACTGCCGGGCTTGCTTCCATCAACACCGAAGGCAAGGCCTGCATCTCGGGGCTTCGGTTTTATTTGCTGGACATCAGGCATGGGTATATCTCCATGGATCGAGGCATGAAAGCTCAGACAAGTGAAACGCTTGGAAGGAAAAAGAAGTGAAGTTTCTCATCTATGGCCAGGACTTCAAGTATCGAGTGGTCGACTGGCACTACCAGTACTACATGGGCCCCAAGGACTGGGCGAGTGGAAAAAAAGGGGGCCAATTACCCAAGGAGTGCTGTGACCTGCATGCAGGCCAGAAATGCCGTGATGTCGAACCAGAGGCACGCTCGATCCATCCAGGCGCCACGCCATTCTTCTGTGTCCACGGGACAAACTTGTGAATTCGTAGTGCTTCTATAGGACTTTCTGGACAGTCAGTGCAACATGCTATGTGGCGGGGTTCCATCCTGCATGCAATCACAGGACCTGTACGACAAGAGAGCGAACGGCTTCGTGCAAAGACTTTCAAAGGATGATGCAGCCTCTGCGCGATACTCCAGTGCAAGGACTGCCATTTGTCTCCTCCATCAGCTGGGGAGGAGTACCGTAGCGCTTCAGCTTTACATGCTTCTGGTCTGAAGCTTCACAGGACGAAGTACTTCACCTGGACCACATGCCTGCCAAGGGTGCCTGGCCTGAAACGGGCAGTGAGAATTCTCCCACTGACTTTCATAAAGGGTATAGAAGGGTTGAAGGGTTGGGCATTTCTCATTCTGTGTCTGGCTTGGCTTTCTTTCCGCTGGCATTTCGATTCTACGATTGAAGCAGTCCGATAGCCCAAGAAAAGGAAGTGAGAGCTGCGTGATACCGCACGTGTTTTGTACTACCTGTTATCTACTCTCTATTATGTGCTCTCGTTATCTTGTGTTCTACATTACATACGAAAGTAGTCAGATAGTTGTGTTGTATCATATTCTGTTTGCGGCGCAGCATGCTTAGGTCACGCCGCTGCAGAGGACTTCCAATCCGTTCTGCCCGATCACGCCCAATAAAACGGGCTGGCGCGAGTACATCGAGCAGAAGGAGTTCAGAATGGGCTCAGGGTTTAAGGAACGGAAGGAGCCTAGGATCTACCAGGAATTTAGGGTGCGGGGCCTTGGTATAGGGAGATGGCATTCAACAGGGTTGTGGGTTTGGTAAAGAGCAGAAGGAGCCCCAGGATTTGTCAGGGTTTGGTATAGGGGAACAGAAGGAGCCAACTATTTAGAAAGATTTAGGGTTTTGGTGCAGGGGAACAGCAGGAGCAGAATGGGGGTTCCTGAAGGAGCAATATTTATCTTTTCATTTTTAGGGTTCTAGGATCCCAGCGTATAGGGTGTAGGGGAACAGGAGCAGCCAATTCTGGGTTGATAGGGACAGAAGGCCCCTATGAGCTTTCGAAGTCATTTGGGGTCTCAGGCGTTCGGAACAGAAGCAGCTGGATTCATGTCGGGGTTATTCAGCGGGCAAACAAGCGCAGTCTGCGAAAGACAAATTCGGTCATATAATCGGGTTTAAGGTTCAGGGTCTGGTACTTCAGAAGCTTTAGAAACTTTAGAGCAGGTTGAGGCCTAGGGATTGCCTGAGCGAAGCCGCAGGGAGACGCCTGACCTAAGGCAAGTCTTGCAACCCGATGATTCTGTCTCAGGAGGTTCGGGGCGCTGTCCGGCCGAAGTCTCCGAAAGACAAGCAGCGACACCGCCCAGTTGCGGAGACCAAGTCAGCATCAGTCATGGCAAAGGATTGGTGCGATGCCAGGCACAAAATCCAGCACATCATGGATCCGAAGCCCAAGGCTGTTCCCTCGTCTGGTTGTATCGGCTTGTGGGAGTTTCATCATTGTTGCCGTCCAGGGCCCCAAGCATGTCATGTCTGGGACCGACGACACCGTCCCAATCTTTCCGACACAGTGAGAGCGGCCGAGCCTGCAGTGGGGAAGTTGTAGACTTGCAAATTCATTTCCAAGTCTAGTTTTGCACCATGCAGCTGTTCCGGAGTTCCCTGCAAGCGCTTCATCCACTCTGGCGACTGCAGAATCCTGCTGGTCTTTGTCTCAATCTTTCTTCGTGTTGGAATGCTGGCCTCCGAGAACCCAGTGCACTGCGACAAATAAAGATCGTGCATTGTTTTTCTTTTCAAGAGACGAATCGTGGAGGATGTAGGGCTAGAGTTCCGGCAGCCAGGACCCAAGCCGGGTTCAGCGTCGCTCAGTTGCCGCAAGCTCGGGTCAATCCTTTCGGGCGTCTTCAGTTCTGGCGAGCTTTCGGCCACTTCCTGCCGATCCAAGGCAATCCTGGTTGGAAGGAAGGTTTGAGCTTGCTGTCCATCCAAACGTCACTTCGGCACCGCCCGAGTTGAAAACCATTTACCTGCCGCGCAGCGAAGGGTGTTGGAATGGCTATGTGAAAGGATTGTAGAGCAATTCTGCGACGTGGGACTTGGCTCGAGCTTAGGGCTTTATCCGGGAACGGTAAAATCACGCCACTCGACTATTTCTGCTTTCCGCAATTGTAGCAGGCCTGCCTAGCACAGAGGATCCAAACTTGGGCAAATCCTGTGTGGGCTACAATTGCAGGTCACCATGGACGTCGACGGTGTCTTCCTCGGTGGCTTCCATATCGATGCCCAGACCTTCGAGGTAGAGATCAATTCAGTATCGCCTCTGTCGCAAGCTGCAGTGACGCAGGCCCTTTTCGGGATGGTCGTGGTTATGGTGATGCTTCGGCTTGAGCTTTTCAGGCCGTGCCCTTGTCTCCAGCATGCTCAAGACTGCCATGCTTCCGTCCAGTTGTCCTTTCGCCTGTAATTTAGCGTTGGACTTATAACGACTGTATGTCTTGAGACATGCAAGAAGACCCTGAGGCGGGCAGTCAATGGACGTCCAGGTGATGCAGCTCCGTCTGCAGCTGACTGGCAGTCCGCAAATGCAACCTGGGACTGCTAACTGAAATACTATTTGCGGCGTTTTGCAACTTTAAGGTCAGCCGACAAGTACAAGAAACTTCTGCGGGAGTGTGCGCCAGAGGCGCGAAACAAGCACAGAGGGTGATAAGAGCCTGTGAGCTGTAGGATCGGCCTTTCAAAATGCGATGCAAGGCAATTGGCACCCTCGCATGCATCCTGCTGGTAGTTGCCTTGCGATCCCGTGGCGACACCATTGGCGAGTCCATGGATGAGCGCTCGCGCGAGGCCAGAGGTTTCTTCCCTCGACTTGAAGAAACTCTTCCTATTCTGCGTCTTTTCCAGTGAGATTTAAGATTTCAAGCCCAAGACTTCCGACTCCAAACTCCGCAGCGATAGTACCTGAACTGAAAAAGAACTGGGATTCTGCGCCGCTTTCTTTGTGAAGCTCCCAGGCCTGGGAGGCCATCAAGGCCCAGTGGCCTGTGCTGATGACGGCAGACACGCTGCTGGCCCTGCAGGCACCGAGCTTTTGTCGCGGGCTGTTTCGGCATACGGCGTAACGGCTTGATTGAATTATTACCTCTTTTCATTTGCATCTACGCCATAGCTACGGCTACAGCCATACCTGTAATCTACGGTATCCGGTATTAATGTCTAGATCGTTTGTTTTTCCACCTTGATCTCAATACAGCAATGACAGAGAGACTGAGACAGACAGACAGACAGAAATGCCAACAGACGAAGGCAGACGCAGACATGCATTTGCGAGCATCCTCGCGCCTGTGCACCAACACACAAGAGCGCGCACACACACACACACACACACGCACACACACGCACGTGCGCGCGCATGCACATGGGCGCAAATGCAAGCACTGTCTCTCTCTTTCTCTGTCCCTCTCTTCCTCTTGCTGTCTCGGAGAGGCATGTAGGCTCAATACATGCTATCGCGCGGCCGATGCAAAGTTCTGATGAGGTGATGTTGCGGCTGATCGTTGTTCTCTCTGCTGTTTTGCGATCAGGCAGGGCCAAATGTGACTGGATGAACGGCTTTGGCAGTCGCAGCCCTGTAGGAAGCGGCACGGCTTCGCCTTTGTTGGATGAATGTGCCGTGCCGTGTGCCCAAAGACACAAAGCTCATTCTGTTTATGTGGAGCATGCTGGTTCTCTTAAGGTTGTGGTTCGGAGGAGCTGCTGCAAGATCAGTAGTTTTGATGCATAGCAAGGCAGGGAACCGGGTCCGTTTTGCCATGTCCTTCGTCTTCCAAACACCCTTTCAGGCTTACTGGCTGGAAGGACCCGTTGGTGGCCTGATTCCCACCATCTCGGAGGCAAGGGCGCGATACACCGTCTCACTCTGAGCTTTCTTGTCGGCAGGTTCTGCTGGCACCGTTGTTGTTTGTACTGGGCAAGCGAGCCCTGCGTCGATCGACCTTGACGATGTTGCTGGTCCGGGCCCATGCAGCAAGCGATGCTGCACGCATAACAGCATGCGACATTGATTCCGGCATCGAATGGAAGATTTGGAAAGCGACGTCGCTTGCAGGTTGTGGTGTTGGTGGGTTTCTTCGCGCAGAGAAACAACATCCATTTGGCATGATTCTTACTGCTCCCGTTGGAGCTTCTTCTCTTTTCCATCGGCTCCCCTGTTCTTGCGATTGCAAGGCGGAAGAACAGGAAGCCAATCTGCTCTTCACTGCCGCGCACTGCTTCGAGCTCCTATCAGCTGCGCTTTGGTTGCTATGCTTTGCCAGCCTGGAGTTTCGTGTAAGTGAACTCCCAAGCACGCCACAAGGTGCTCTACCTTGGTCGAACGTTGCTGTCCGACAGTGAGCCTTGAATGCAAGAAGAGAGCGACTCCGGTGTACGGTGCATGTCAGATCTCGCCGGCATGTAGTTACGTAGTTTGTGTGTGTGTGTCCGTTTGCGCACACCGTGCGTGGATGCATGTGTGTGTTTACATATTTCATCGTGTTTCAGGTTACATCATGGAATATCATGGAAATTATGACATTAGCATCTGCATATGTACATGTAAACGCGATGTGTTTGACAGTTACATGTCTGTTGTCGAATGTCTCTGTGCGTGTGTGTGTGTGTGCGCGCAAGCACCTGCTTGTTTGCATGCGGGTTCGTGCGTGTGTGCGCGCGCGAGTTAGCTAGCTAGCTAGAAGCCAGCTCGTTCGTTCGGTCGCTTGATCGCTGGTTTGTTTGACTGTTCGTGTGTTTGTAATTGAGTTAGGTACTGAGTGAGTTAGTTGGTGAATGTTGGTGAATAGGTGAGATAGCTAGTTGGCGTGTCACCAAAAGAGACAAAGCATCTTGCAGCGTTTCTTTCAGGACAGCCCCGATTTACAATTCTCTTTGACGTTTACGTTTGGAGCCCAGACGAACCAGCGATGACGCTGCACACTCTGCGTGGTTTGGCGTGTCTGCATGTCACTTTTTGTGGTCATGCCGAGGCATCTTGTAATGGTGGTGCAACAGAGTCTGGCCGTGTATTTCTGGCTGCAGGCATGCTGTGCAACACTGCAGAAACTCTTTGCTGTTCTCCATGTTGAGAAGGCTTTCGAGCCGGACACCGTGAGTGGGACGGGGTGGAAGACCTATTGTTGTTCCAATATTCGTTGCGTTGTTGCTAAAGCTCGAGCTGGCAAAGGCTCGGAATTGCTGCTATTCAGCTAAGCTGTCTAGGCCAGCTTTGCGCGTGCGCCAGCCGTGCGTGTGTTGATGATGCCTTGCAAAGGCACTTCAGAGTCCTATCTCAGACCAGCCACAGGTATTTGGCAGCGGCATCTTTGCACATAGCCACATGGTCAGGGCCTGTGGTCAGCATAGAGCAGTGCAATCCCAGGCATCATGTGCATACCAATGGCTAAGGTTCGCAGATGAAGCACATCAACCAATTCATGCACACTTATGAGGGGAGTGGCAGCAGTGTTTCACGCTTGTTCGGCACAGAAAAGCATGTCCTTCTGCGTTGAGAGCTATACGTTGAGACCCCAGGCAGTGCATTACACTCGTACTCGTAAGTTAGCGTTGCCCGAATGGCTTTCGCAGTCATCAGACAGCATGCGTGCGAGTCCACTAGCGGGTCGATTAACTGGACACCCCTTGTCCTGGTCCACTTTTGCAAGTTTGGATGGGACGTGCGCATCCATGGCGTGCAGTCCGGTTGGATCCATATTTGTCAATCGCGCACATTGATTGGCAACGTCTGTCACAGTTTTCGCCGAGTGGTGCCGTGCGGCGCATTTCCGAGCCACAGTGGGAGCTAGCCGGTCATATCGAAATGAGCATCTTTGTTTCGAGCTTGGCAAATCTACCTTGTTTTCAGCTAGACGGAATTGTTTTCCAATGTGCTTTGCCAGGCAGAATTTCTGCCTGAAGCCGCGGAGGAGTTTGGTACTTACGCAGTGACCTCTGGTCAAGCCACATGGGTGTGGGACTTGTCTGGGTGTTGCTGCTCTCGCGTTTGTCTCCCTTGTCCAATAACTTATCCTATGAGTCAGAATTTTTATCAACGGTCGAAACTAGGAGTCTGTTCGAAAGTCGGAAGTACCTTCTTGTGACAGGAGGGGTGTGCAGGGCGCGCGGCGAAGTTCCTGGAGTCATGGAGTGGTGAGATGTTCACTAGCACGTGGATGTTGACCTCTGATGTGCGGCACTAGGGCATCTGGCGTGAGTACGACCGTACCGCTGTTTGGTTCAATACGCTTTTCTTAGGGTCTCACCTCACCTCACTGCGAGCAATCACGAAGAATGGAGGACTTGTACCAGTCTTAGCAATTCAACCAACCGTCACAGAAGGCAGCATTTGTCCTCCGCATCCCTGCAGCAAGCAGCACCTCAGTGTCCAGAGTCAGTGTCTCAGTGACTCATAGAGCTGCTCGGCTTCCTGCTGACCCAGGGGTTCGAATGTACTGAGGTTAACACTCTCAAAAGAATGGCTTCCTCGCCGATACCGCCTTTCGACCTTGACGCAGAGCCGCAGCAATCTCAGAACCTGCGTGCTACTAGTAGCGGTAGCGACCACTTCGGCAAGCTAGTCTATGTGGATCAAACTTCTGTCGGCCGAGGCTTGTGACCGGCTCGGTCGAGATCTCTAACGATCGGCTGATTCAAGGCTTCTCCTGGCTGGTAGCTACAGTGAAGGCCCTTCTGCGGCGAAAGGTTTCAGCCGTTCTCGCCAAGTTCTGAATTGCTCCGCAGGAACAGAACCGTGTAATGGATGCGCTGAGTAGCCAGATCGACGGCTTGAAGGACAATGCTGCCGACTTTTGTATGACAGTCTGAGAGTCTTGAGTTTAGGGTCGAAGTGGAGTCGAGCACAGGTTGGTGCAGCTGAGCCCGCGCCCTGCCCTTGGCCAGTTCCAAGTGGGTTCTCTGCATAATCTTGGCCTTGGGCAGTTCTGAGCAACCACACAGCCCGTTGCAGTGGCGCAATCGCAAAGCTGTTGACACCAGTTTCCACCCCTACGACAGAAGAGCATTGGGCGAAACATACCGTTGAGCATGATCTCGCGAAGCGGTGGATATGCCGGATCAGGAGCCCATGCCATACATACAGCGGTACACAAGGCATGCCCTCAAGATTTAGTGCCTGGGGTTTTCTGGGGCTGCTGTTTTGGCTGCTTCCAGGCTTGGTTGTTCATGGCTTGAAATAGCTCTTGTCGTGCAGTTTGGGAACGTGGGAACGAGCCCTGTGTCAGGTCCCTCAGGACACGACACCCCTAGACTCCCAAACCTCCAGCGTCCCCCAGCCCTATCATTGAGGCACTCCAGTGATGGCAGACGCGCATCCATGAAGGAGCCGAGTGTGGCCCCAGAGACCCGCTGAGAGTGCCAACAATTCCCTTCAACTCCGTCAGGAGGAGATGCTGCTGATGCAGATCAATGCCATAAAGCACGAGGCCACGACCTGCTCCTTCTTGGGCCCCGTGCCAGCTGGAGTCTGCAGGTTGGCTCACTCCCACGTTCGAGTGATTTGGAGCGACAGCGCGAGCGCACCATGGCAGAGGCGCCTAACCAAGGACACTGCTTGGACAGATGGGCAGTTTGTCTTCGAAGCAGAGGTTCACAACATCTCCAACACCCTGAGCGACCGGAATCGAGAGTCTTCCGAGCGCTTGCAGAAAGAGCTCGCCGATGTGACGGCACAACTCCCAATTCAAAAATCTAGCACACACTATCAAGAAGCCTGTGTTTGATGTTGATGTTGAGGATTCATTGTGCAACCAGCTGAAGCGCATCGGAGACGATGTCTTTTCAAGGCGCAGACGCACGGGTTTTCTGTGGAGTTGATCCGCTTTTGCATGGCTGGGGTCGCCTTCGCTTGCCCTGAAAGTTGATAGATTCGCACGCAGCATTCAGCGTGTGCAAGAGGAAGCAGCAGAGCCAGGTCACAGGATGTCAACAGGTATGGGCTCGGTTTTCGATTCAATGCGCTGTCAGGCTGGAGATCCTCGAGCAGCGACCGCAGGCTCCTGCCGACTCAAAGTCTGCTCGAGGCATGTCCACGGAGGTTCAAGTTTTCCTGGACAGGCACCGGCTCCTTCGGCGCAGGGGCAGATACCGCCAGCTGCAGCTGCAGCCGCTGCAGCGTCGCAGCCGCCGCCTGCGTCACAGCCGCAGGCCATTGACTGCAAGTTCTTACTCAGTTGGCTATGCACATCTTTGGGGACCCGAATCCTGAAACCTCAGCCCTCATGTCTTTTGCCCGCTGCACAGGTACAGGGCGGCATTCCGCCCCCACTTCCAAACCCGATCTCATCCTCCAGCATTGCAGCTGAAGACACTGAGGACATCGAACTGTGCCAGCGAGCCCGGTAGTTTGCAGAGATTCAGGTGTGTGCGGTGTGCATCAAGAGATCTGAAGTCAAAAATGTTAACGAAGGATCACACCGACGGTTTGCTGATGCCGGGTCCTTGCGGGCTAACTTAACGACACGTCTGCAACTCATCTGCGAGGTCGGAGCGTCCAGCTGCAGCCATGGGAGGCGGCTCCCAGGCCGTGCCGTCCACATTTTGGGCTGCGCAGTGCCTGCATATGATGGGTGCGGCTGCACCCAGGTCGACCTGGCACTGATGGATGCCATCACGGCGCGCCTGGATGGGCTGGAGAGGCCGTACGGCCATAGCCAGTCGGACGTGTCATGACACGCGGTTGGGCCACAGGCAAGTCCAGGACCTGCGGAATGAGGCGCTGGCTGCGGGTCGAGTGGGATCTTCTCTCCATCGTTTTTCCTTCCCCGTGTGTTCGTGTGGCTTTGTGTCAGGTGCGACAACCGCTTGCAGCTGCAGATGCTGGTCCGACCCCAGCTGTTCGCGAAACTGCGGAACCTTCTTTGGGCAACCAGAGCAGCCCCGTGGGAAACGCACCTGACAGCCATGACGGACCTGTCAGCGCCGATCCAAATGTAGCTTTCATGACAGCTCCACCAGACTCCGCCGCCACAGCTGCATCTCCCGAGCCGGCTGCGGTGCCGTTGCAAGGGGACTCGAATCGCGGCGATCCCATCCAAGATGTGAACGCAATTATGTCTGCAGCTGTTGCTGCTGCTACAGATGCTGCCACTTCAGTGGCAACTCGGGCCATTGCTGAAGCAGCGCAGGGCGAGCGAGGGGATTTTGCATCTCTTCAAGAGGAGATGCTCAACGTGCGACGAAAGCTGGAGACTCTTGCCCAGAGTGTGTCCGAAGTACCGAGATCGCAGGAGGCGCAGGTCCAGGAGACACCAGTGCGGGAAGTTGAGCCGACACAGGCACACCCTGAAACGCAAAGCGAATCCGGAGCTCAATCCGCTGCTTTGGCGTCTCTACAGGAAAGGTTAACCTCGGTGGAAGCTGCTGTGAAGCAGGTTGAGGGTGTCGTACCGCAGGTCAGGACCGTGCCTATCCTGGAAGCGAGCATCCAAACTGTGCAGCAATCGCTTGAGGTGCTGCGCCAGCAAACACAGCAGCTGTCGCAGCCACCACCACAGCCACAGCCCGCCAGTGATGCAAAGGCCGTCACTGCCGCCGAAAAGGAGGCTGGTCGCAGCGAGCTGCCGGAGCCAGCACCGGAAGATGCAAGACACAAGGCAGCGGGGGTTGAGTCTGCAGCGTGCAGGATATGATGCCGAGCACCGGCAGACATTTGTGCTTCTCAGGTTTGGTCAGGGCATGATGTGACTGCCGCCGTCAGCACTCATGTTCACAGCTGCCATGGAAAACATTGGCCATCGCACAGGACACATTGGCGGTTTCCGACGAGGATCTCGAAAGACTGATGGCTCGACTGCAAGATATGGAGGACTTGGGGTTTTGCACGTCTCGGCTTGCCGGAAGCTGAAGCAACCTAAGTCCCTCTAAAAAACAGCTCAGGAGCTTCAGGAGAAAGCAGAGAAAAGGATCCAGCAAGTGGAGGGTCGGTTGCGAGAGGCCTTGGCTTGAGAGCGACTTCAACTTTGTGCAAAATTAAGAGTCAGAAGCACGAGAAACCCCTTAAAAGTAAGTAGGTCGACCTGCTTGCCTTCATTCAGAATCTATCGCGTCCAGTGCTGTTTTCATGGTCTTGACAGGTCCGAAGTCGAAGTGGGTCAATCAGCCTGGTCTCTTGGCTGCATCGACTTGAATGGCAAATGGTGCGTGATATAGCAAAGGCTGCAGCAGAGCAAGGGGCAACACACAGACAATATTCCAGAACAGGACATGCTATTCTTATGTGATTATTTATGCTAGCACTTTCGCCCGTTTAAGAAATACGTACAAATGCTTGCACACATGCATGCATGCATGCATGCATGCATGCATGCATGCACAATGCTGCATACATACGTACATACATACATGCGCTCGTACGTACCCGCATACATGCATACATGGTGCGTAGATACATGCATGCATACAGCATACATACATAGATACAGAATCAGACAGACAGGAACACGCACGTCATGAATGCATACAGAAGAAAAACACATGCAGTTACATACAATTACGTACACATACACACAGACAGGCAGGCAGGCCTGCAGACAGACAGACACATACGCGCATAGGCATGGCATGCATGCATACATACACCGTAACATAGGCATGTATGCATGTATGCATGCATGTATGTATGAATGAATGTATGTATGTATGTATGTATGTATCTATCTATCCATTTATGTCTGTATGCATGCATATAACTGCATACATGTTTGTATGCGTTGTGTCCGCGTTGGGAAGCCCTGTTTCTAAGGGAAGGAATGGTGATGCATAGATAGATAGATAGATAGATAGATGGGTAGGTAGGTAGGTAGGTAGGTAGGTAGGTAGGTAGGCAGGTAGGTAGGTAGGTAGGTAGATAGGTAAGTAGGTAGGTAGATAGATATATTTTGCGTGCGTGTGTGCGGCTGGAAGCCTTGATTCTAAGCTAAGGGTTGGTGGTAGGCAGGACTTGGACCACTCTAGTTGTACGTCGGATGGTTGGTGGAATGGCATACCGGGGACGAATTGACGAGTTATTCTGAAATTTCCGTTAGTTTTTTGTCACATCTGCACGTGCATGTGTACGCGTGTATGTGTGGCCTGTGTGCATGCGTGGTAAGCCCTGGCTCATCCCAAGAGCACCCATGCATGCACGCGTGCATGCGTGCATGTGTGTATGTGTGTATGTGTGTGCGTGTCTTATGCATTCATGCATGCCTCTCTGTATGCATGTAAGTATGTAAGTATGTGCATATATGATATGCGACACCTGCATACCACACTACGCGGTAAAAAGCTGGTGACAGTAGACGAGCCGGTCAAGAGTGTTGTGACACAAACAAGCAACGCTTGGACAAGCCACATGTACTAGCTGTCGCGAACGGGCAGGTGACAACATGCAACGGGTCGTGTTCATGTCAAAACTTCAGAATATGGCAAAATAATACTGTTCTCATGATTTCTCATGGCATGATGACATCGGGCTGCTTTGGAGCTTGCCCGCGTCATCGATATGATCTGATGCCTGGCCTTAGCCTTGCCCATGTGTAATAACAGCTCTGGACTGATACCCCCGGCCAGAGTCGACAACGCACTCGAGCACTGCGCAAAAGCTAGGGTGCCTCGCGTGGGATCCCCGCGGAACATCGTCTCACTGGAGGACAGGAAGACGCCAGCCAGCCGCAACACAACATCGAAGACTGCTTCAAAGACATCTGAGCATGCTGCCTCAGCCAGTGCGGATGTGAAGAATGTTGATTCCCTTGAAGCTCATCCTTCTGCTGGTCGCACACCAGAGGCCGTCTGCTGATGGATCCGTCGGTGGCTCCTGGAAGGATGTTCAGGCCGCTCTGGCCACTCGAGCTGCGTGAACTCAACAGTTTTCCCCACTCTGCAAAGGCCGAGCTGGAACGATTTCGGAAACTCTTCGAGTTCATCGAGGCGTGGAGCCGTTGCCCTCGATGTTTGACTTGCCTACGCTGCCACTGTCGAGGGCGTGCTTCCGCAAGATGCAGCTGAAGCAATGCGATTCTTCAATCGGCGTGAAGCAGGCAAGGAATGGCATGAAGCATGGCTACTTGGAGGTTGCCTCTGGGTAGTGCTCGTCTTGCTGATACAGGCAAGGAAGAAATGTCCGGGATGATTTCGGAAGTATTTGGAGCAGATATCGAGTTCCAGAATGCCAAGCTAAAAACTTAGTCGCTTAGTGTGTTTCAGCCGCCTCCCCATCCCGCCCCTCCAACACATGCTTCCCGACCGAGGTCGCAGCTGGAGAGCGACTTCAAAATGCACACTCGCGAGCTCCGACGAGAGCAGCTAGTCCGCAAGGTGCAATCATGCCTAGAGTTGCTAGACACTGGCAGTTCTTGTCGCGGAGCTGATGCACCTGTCAAGGAAGACAGTATACTGAGGAGACGTCTCAGCGCAATGGTAGAGCGGACTAGCTGGGGCAATTGTAGACAGAGGACAAGACACCATCATTTCCAAGTCGATTGAGACAGCTTCAAGTCGATTGCCTTAAGGTTCGACAAGCTCACTTTGGCGCTGAAGGTCGCTGCCTCAGGGCTGGACATCCAACCTTGCTCTGTAAGAGTCAGCAAGACAGAGGGAAATCACATCTGAGGGCCTGCAGCGAGATGTGGACACATCCGGCAGCAAAGTGGTGGACCTCTCCAGACGGACAGAACAGAGTTGCTCGACTGAGAGAGAAGAGAAGTTTTTGCCTTGCATGGAAGGACGTCGCAACTTGAGACGGAGGCCTTTGCAGCAGCTGCCTCTTCTCCTAGTGTTTGCACGAGTCCCTACGATTTGTAGTTGGTCACTCGGGGGAGCAACTGCGGAATCAGCATAAACACAAAGCCTTGGAGGTCTTGCCTTGCCAAAGTGCCCGCCCGGCCCCCCCCCCCGAAAGGTTCCCATGAGGAAGATTGGCACAACATGTGCTCGAAGACTGGAGAAAGCAATCGTCTTGGAGAGCTGTTGGTCATGATACATGCGTGAACGGTACATGGTAGCCATGCCGAGTAGTAGTGGAAATGGCGGCAATGAGAACAGTAATAGCACCAATGGCTAGCAAGATTCGGATGCAGCAAAGGTAGATTAGATATTGTCTTAGCAAGACACATTATTCAGACATCATGACGACAGCGGAATAAGAACAACCATACAAAGCACGTTTGAGATGAAAGCTTGGTAAAAAAACAAGAGAATCAAATTAAGAAGAGCAGCAGCGCAAGGTGAACTGCAAAAACGAGGAGCAATTCTATGAAGAAAGAGAACAGCAAGCAAATGAGATGAGAATAGCCGCATCCTTGACACCCAAGTAATTAATCAGTGCGCCGTGCTTGCAGCATCGTGCCTCTGCTAATGACTTGAACAGGACAGTAAGCATAATGATAATAGAGAAGATCCTTGCGCCACTGATCAAGTCATATGCCACGATGGCCACCATCAAGCCAAACGAGATGTCACTCATGGTAGATATGCTGTGGCTTCCAGCGGTAACGGAAGCAACAACACTGAAAACTGCATGAACATGCAACATGGGCAGCAGTACACTCGGCAGGTCCGAGTGTCACCGGCTATGGCAATATCTTCTATGGAGGCCATTCTGCACATTCATGTTTCAGGCGCAGGCCGTAAGCTGACACGAATTCCAGCATTGCGGACGATATGTGATTCGATGGTATGGTCAAGTTTGGCATATAATGGGCATGACTCTGGCTGAGCTGGGCATCTGCAACTGTGGGGCTCAATATTCAGTCCAGAACGACTATACCGGCATGAGCCTTGAAGCACATGTAGTTGCAGTTGGAACCCTTGCAGTCAGCCAGCTATCGAGTTTGGAAAAGGGGAGCTCGGTCTAGGGCAGGGGATCAGATGATGCTGACGCATGGTACGGCGGAGAGAGCAAAGTGCGTAAGATACCGCGACGGCCACCAGCGCAGTTGGCCACGGGATTCATCGCTTGTGGTCGCACCGGGCAGAGCAGACCGATCACTGCTTAGTAAATCCAGCGCCTGCCTTCTTAGTGCCTGTGGCTCTGCATTGGCACATGGGCGGGGTCACCGCATGAAGAGCAGAGCAGGATCGGATGACTCCGAAACACATGGCGAGATCAACTCAGAAGACGTCCGCTCTAACTTCATTCTTATGAGTGTCTGCTTTGCTTTGAACCACGGGGTAGTCACAACGCCGCTTGCGGTGGCAACCACTCTCCTGCAGCTTGACGTTGCGAATTTCGGAAATGGCCTTCTCTACGCGGTCACATTACTTAGCTCGCTGTTCCTTGGTGCTCCTACAGTGGGCAGATTCGGTCCGAAGGGCGGACTGGTGTTCGGAATGTTCTTTTACTGCATCTACATCGGCCTTTTTGCAATGGCGCTCTTTTATGGAGATGCTACACAGCTTTTGTTCACTATAGGATCAGCTTGCGGCGGGCTGGCTGCAGGCGTCCTGTGGACAGCTCAAGGCGCTTACTTTGCATGCTCCGCAACTGAGCTCTCGAAGAGCACAGAGCAAAGTCGAGAGAATGCCACGGCTGAGCTGTCCAGCCAGTTTGCATTCTACTACCTTCTGTTGGAAGTCTTCAGTAAGCTAGGCTTTTCCGGTTTGCAGGCATTGGGCCTGCAAGTCTCTCAGATCGGCTTGATTTACTTTGGAGCCGGCGTCATTTCCTTGATCGGCATGACTCAAGTTTACGACTTCCGCTCTAATTCGGGGAACGCAGATCCACTCAGCAAGGCCCTCGCGGCCACGTCGTTATGGTCAGATCCCACCTTGTGGCTTCTGGCTCCAACCAACCTTGCCTTCGGGTTCTGTGCAGCTTACATGAATGGGTTTGTGAACGCCACATATGCTGCTCAAGAGCTTGGTGCCGAATATGTTGCCTTCCTTGGAGCCGTCACAGCCCTTACTGCTGCAGTTCTGGCCAAAGCTTATGGTCCCTTGGGAGCTCAGATTGGCAAGGGCCCCATCATCATCACAGGTGCAGTTTGTGCTTTCGCGATTCCGGCTTTGACCTGGCAAGGCTGCACGGGATGGGGCTGGTTTTTGATCTCCTTGTACCTTTTGCAGGGATCCTTTCGGGCGGTGTATGAGTCCACAAACCGAGCGACATTTTCTGATTTCTTCCCAGGGGAGAAGACGGAGGGAGCATTTGCCAATTGCATGTTGCAGTCCTCACTTGGTTTCGCCACATGCTTCTTCCTGCAAAACTCACTGAGCCCCACACAGCTCTCGACGATCGTGGTCGTCCTCGCACTGTCAACTCCCGTCGGCTACCTCTTCGCAGAGAGCTTGCGCTCAAAGGCTTCATAATTTGGTGCGACTCCGTGCGACTAGAGAGCCTTCTGGCGCCCGTGCGCAATGGAGCAAGCAGGATCAGCTTGTTCGATCACCTCTCTCTCTCTCTCTCCCATGGCTTCGTCTCCAACAGGCAACGACCTGACCAAGTGTGCTTTGACACGCCTGAGCGTGTCCTGAGCGTGTCACAGCCTCGCCATGCTTGCCAAAGGCTGTGTACATGTTCGTGCCCTGAGCTTGATTGAGTTGTAGATCCAAGGCACATCGTCATCCTCTTGCCGTCTCCCGGCCCATAAATCTGCGCGCACGACGTAAGCTCTGACACCTCTTGCAATATTTGCAATGACACCTAACAATCAAGGGCTGTGTCAGGCGATGATCGCATCAAGCATAATTATGTCCAATCAGCTTGAAGGGCCAGTGGAATGACATTCGCAAGCAATTGTCCAAGAGATCCTTCAGAGGGAGAACAGCATAGATGAGGATGCTCTGAATCAACACGAAGCATGGGAGCCTTGGGACTCTTCGAGCTTGTTGCAGTCAAGTCGCCCGTGAGGACCCGCATCAGGAACCGAGTCCACGCGGTCCAGCCGAAGGCTGGGACCCCGATGCTCAGGAAAGTCGGGCGCAATTGCTTAAATTCTCTGCTTTGCAGGCAGACGCGACAGCAAGGCAACTGCCTTGCAACTGAAGCATAGGCTCTGTTCAACCACAGAGCGTCTGAGCAGGACATCCGCGATAAGGCGCTTCAAGGCCATTGACACTTCGATTGTCGTTTCACTCGGCAGTCTGGGGAGCCCAATAGCAAACTTGGTCCGGCGGCAGGTATGTCCCAAGAGCTGCAGCGCGCTATGCAGGAGATGCCCCAGTTGCATCTTTGTTCAGCACGGCCCATTGAGCTTGTTGCATTGTCAAGGATTAGGGCTAGGGCTTAATCGCTCAATTTTGCTGCTCATTCGGAATGAGACCTGAAGGAACTGCGTGATGAGATCCGGCAGTGGATAGAACTGTTCAAGTCCAGGCAAGGTGTTCGTGTGGCTTGCCACGAGAACGGCGCTAGCCATCTTAAGCTGTTCTGCCAGTGTGGTGCAAGCCCTCCAATCGAAGCCTGATCACGAACAAGTTGCGGAATTTGTCAAGCAGGCCCGAGCTGGAGAGCCTCTGCCCTTCAGGGAGCATCGCCCCGGTTGCAGGTGGTGGGAGCTTCGGCTGGCGAGAAAGTTGCATTGTTTGCCAAGCGCCAGCTACTAGGCACCGAAGCCTTACAAACGGACGCAGGGTATCTTGCGGTCTTACACTTCCCCCACAGCCATCGCAGCAGGCAAATGTGCATCTTGCTCGGCCCCCATCGATGCTGACTTGCTGCGCGTGAAGAGACCGCAGCCGATCGGGCACGCGTCTCAGATCTGACACATCCCTTCCCTTTCCCCCTTTCCCTTTTCCCCTTTCCGTTCCCCTGTTCCCCTTTCCCAGTCCGGTCCCCTAAGTCCCTCTTTCTCTGTGCGGAGGCTGCAGGAGCACTGGCCTCCCGGAGAGAACCTCGGAGCCAAGGCCGCCGAGCGCGGCGCCTGCTGTGCGACATGTTCTGTTTCTCAAACGCAGTGCAGGTGGCCATACGACCCTTAAACGCAGGTGGCGTGAGTCCTAACAGGCCTGTCGGGAGGGTTCTCTTTCCGACTTCAGCACAAGATCTTGTCAAGTCACCTCCTGTCAAGATAAGACGGGCAAGGCAGGGACGTTCCATTCTGCCGATGTGCACTTCTCACTGTCACCATCCCACTTGGTACTAGAATCTGAGCTTCAGGCGTCCGCTTCCTTATCACATGACTACCGTGTAGTCACTACAGGAGTTGATGCAGGCTTGCAGGCTGCAATCTTTCAGGCTACCAAAGATCAACGATGCACGCCACCGTGACAATCCCAAAGCAAGGGGCATGAAGTGCAGGTCTTAGTTCCATCAGTCCAGACGCTTTTCAAGGCGCTGCAAATGTTCAACCCGCACAGTGCGAGCATGACTTGTTTTGAGGTCGAGTGCATCCACACCTGAACTCCGCAAAGATCAGGACAACGAGCATGTGTGCAAACTTCTTGCATCTTAGTGAAATCGCCCCTTGTATGGTGTGCCGAGTGACCAGGTAAGCTACAGCAAAGAATGCCCAAATTGTTTGTCGTGGACGCTGCGAAGTTCTCAACAGCACAGTTCAGGAGTCATCGGCTGATGCTGCATAACACTTGCCAAGTCTGTACCTTAGGGAGTGCTGCATTGGTGCTGCATGTGGCAAAGCAATGAATGGACACAGGCAAGAAGACACTGCGGAACACCACTGAGTGGTTGCTACGCGGAATAAGAGTGCAGTTGAGCGGCGACTTTCAGCTCTTCTGACACGGCAGCCCTATCTCTGGGCACATGTTGACACGTTTCACCAGAGAAGTCGAAGTGATGGTTTCTGCGCGAGATTGGTTACCGAATCACGACTCTGCACGGCTTCAGCACTTCATGTTGGCAGCACGCCTCCCGCGACAAGTAGCATCCCAGATGCTTGAGCTTCTGGCCTCGAGCGAGCTCCGTAGCGTTTGCTCAAAGCCTGAAAAAAGATGTCGAACGATTAGCATCGCATGTGAAGGAGATTGGTAGGGCCAAGCAAGAGCATGTGTGTAGCATCAGCATCTGTATGCTAGACACAGCTTGCAGTCTGTGTGGCTGGCATCCAAAAAATCTTGGGCCTTAATGCCAGGGGTGTGGCAGCTAAGCGCAGTCGTAAACACAAAACTGTTCACAAAAAATCAGAGTGCAACATGCAGTGACAACAGTCGCACTGGAACCTTGACTATGACGTCTGCATTTTCCAAAGTGTCTGGCATCATCGATGATGACGAAGAGGCCAATTCCAGTGTTTCGCCGAATCAGTAGCTCAGCTTCTGCTACTGCGGTCGCTCGTGCCAGGATCGTCAGGAGATCAGTCAGCGAGCACAGGCCCTTTACCAGAGGGCGCAGGACTTGCAGCAACGATTTCCAGCCAGCGCGAACAACAAGTGCAGCAAAGCCTTGCTGAAGGATGCATACACTTCCAAAGGTTCGCAGAAGGACGTGTTGAGGCCTGCCGCTCATTGTGCTTCACTGCCATTCTACAGCACGTTCCTGAAGGCTGTTTGAGGATGCAGAGGCCCTTTGGCCCCGCCTTCGCTGCAACTCACGATGCTCCAAAGCTCCAAAGCTCCAGGCTGCCATGCGTCCGCTGCTCGGCGGGGGTCTGGCCAGCTTGAATGCCCAGGACGCTGCCTCATCTCCTCAGTGTCCAAAGTCTCCATGATTGCTGTGTCCAACGTCACTTTGCATACCGCTGTCGCAGCTCAAGAGTTTGCTCTCCTTGTGCGTTTCTGCGCAATGCATGGGCGAAACAGGCGCCCCGGTGCCGCTGTGGCGTGTGAAGGCCTACTACTTCGCAGCTCTGCCTGAGAATTCCAGCCTGAACCCTGAGAGTTGGGACAGCATCTATAGCTAGTGCGACCTATTTGCGATTTAGTCATGTGCTCTGCGAGATTTCCTGATCGCCGAGGCTAGCTTTTGCTTCTTCGCGACTTATGAACGCTATTTGACCCTCTACTTTGAAGCCGACGGCTTCCTCGCGGTCGAGATAGGGTTCATGCCGCTTGGACCTCTTCGGCATGGAGGCACGTTGGTGGTGACATGTTTTTCTGCACCATGAGGATCGCAGTGCGCCGCGGGCTCATGACGGCAGCGACTCCCCTTTGGAATGCCTTGGCTGATTCCACGAAGAAGGCGAGGACGATCCAGCTGGCATCACTGCTAGCCCTGCGGCTGGACACAGATTCCATCGCACCTCCGATGTGCAGCTAATGCAGCTATCAGATCTTGGCCTTGAAGCTTAGGCGAGTGTTGCGCCATTTATGGCGCTCCGCATACCCGTCGCTCACGATCGAGAAGGGCTGGCTAGCGGCTTACGCACTCTGGAATAAATCTTGGAACCGCACTGTGCTCCTGGTGTCAGGTGATTCGAAGTCTGGCCCTGTGGGCGTTCTCTTTGATGGGGGCCCCAGCCCTCTCAATGATGGACGCGCTGGCGCTCGCTGCTTGCATCTCGACTCAGCTCATCTAGAAAGGCCCCTAAGCATCCCAAGCCCTTGAACTTGAACCTAAACCTAACGATTGCAGGTCAGCAGGATGCTGACACCTGGGGTCAGGCCCGGATCTATGGTGCAATCGGCTGGGGAGGCATGCACTTGGTGCTTGGACCTCTGCTGCTTCCCTGATTTTGGGCCCTCTCCGTAGAGTATGCGCCAGGCTGGAGCAATTCAATTTTCAGCTCAGGCTTGACAGCTATGGCTTCAGCGCTCTCCGGACTGCACTATGCTTGTTTTCTGTAGTTTCAGTTGGACAGATGCGGATGAGTTGAGGTTATGTTCGCATCTTTCTGCACGATGGGAGCTATTCTCTTCGTGACGTATTCTGGGATGCCGGAAGCATGCGGCGAAACGCGCGGAGAGGTAAGCTTCCGCTCCGTGTTTGGGATTATCGCCAGGACTTCCATTTTGCTGTGGTCCGTGTACGGGATGCAGTGAGATGTCGATTCATACCGCGATCAAGGAGGATCAGACCTTGCAGGAGCAAGTGGTTCTTCGCGAACATCACCATCTTGGGCGCAGGTTTCTCAATGGTGGAAGGCCTAGCAGTGCAGTGCAGACGAATTTGTAAGGCTCGTTCTCGAGCTTGTATCAGGTATGCTTTTCCTTCTACTTCAGCAGCTGCAGGCGACAAGAGCAACCTGTGTAGTTTGCTGCTTGTTTGAGTTGAAAGCTCACAGAGGCATCGACTTTTCTTTGTGGCCTGTCAGTGATGGCACCTTGTCAGAATCTAAAGTCGCTGCACTTGAGAGAGTGACTGAAGAATCAGAGCCGTGCGCGCTTCAGGTCACGGTGATTTTTGAGCTACCGATCTTTGCCTACGCGCCTTGTCAGCATCCTGTCTTGAAGTCTTTGGGTGCCGACACCGGATCCCATATTCCGGCGATCGCGCAGGCCAGCAGCCTGCTCCGGCGGTTTGGCACAACGAAACTCATCCTGCTTGCACAATTAGCCTGGGTGCTCGACCTCAGGTTCGATTTTCGTCGAGGGTGGACAGCCTCGCTCATAGCTTCTCTCATAGCATGTCATACGTCAGGTCATCCGCGCTTTGTTTTACTCTCGGATGTCGGCTGCTTGGGCTGTCCTCCTCGTGGAGCCGCTGCACGGGGTGACTTTCGCTCTGGCTTGGGTCGCACTGCGGCAGCAGTGAAAACGCCCCTCTTGTTGAGTCCTTTTTTAGGCCCTGGGCCCTTGTCTTCGTGCAAAGCCTTCGCGAAGTGCTGAGACTGAAACCGAGGGCGCTATTGACCACGTAGCGAAGCCTGCCGTGTCTGGAGAAGGCTTACAGGCATCATCCCAGGGATTGTTGACTGCCTGCTTCCTCGGTCTTGGACCCATTATTGGCCCCTGGTCTGCACTCCATCTGCTAGACGAGCACAGGGCCTAGATGCGCGACTGCTTGCGCACTGCCAAGGTTTGCTGGGAGGATCCGACAGCTGTACTGTACCCACAGATGTCGATCGCAGGCGTTAGTATGATTTAGTATGTTTGGAAGCGCAGATTGCCACAGGAGGGCTTCTGTTTGACACTGTTGGTGGCCATGCTGCCTATGCCATTTTCGCCGTGGCTTGACCCCGCACTTTGAAGCTTGGTCCGTGTGCACGGAGCATGTGCGACTTTTCCAGGTTTTTGTCTCCGTCTCTGGGCTCATTTACTGGCACCTTCCTGAGTACCTGACTGCCCAGCATCGAGCAGTAGCACGGGGCTTCACCACTGACGTAGCCAGGTCAAGAAGCCATATCGAAGAAGCCGAGCCTGACGGGACGAGTCATGCAAGCCAAATCATCGGCAAGTCACCTGGATCGCACGTTCTCCGAACAGAGGTACACGTTAGCTTGAATGTCCACATCAAGCTTTTCGGAAACAAGTGGGGGCCAGAAGTTGACTCCGAGGCAACATCTGTCACCGACATCCAATGCGGATGCAGATAGTGCGGGCGAAGAGGCCAATCTCAGCACGTGACTGTGGTGCAAGCACAGTTTCGAGTGCAAGCACAGCTTCGAGCTTCATGGAGAAGTTTTCGACGGACCGCATGGGCTTCGTGGGGTAGCGCCGCCCCGAAAGGGTCTTCGTCTGACCGTCAGTCAGCATGGCGCTAGATGCCTCTCCAGCGCTTGGAGAGCTCGAACTTGGACCTTCCCCTCGATCGTGACGTACAGCTGCAGCGGCGCGAACTGCAGTCGGCATGCTCGCAGCGGCCGTGCGTGAGACGAAGTTTTCGAAATCGGAACGGGCTGCACAGATTGCTTCGATTTGCATACTGACTTCAAACATGATCCTTGACCCAGCGAAGTCGAGGAGTTGGAGACAGTGCTGAAAGGACGGCTTCATCAGGCCTTGACCTTGGTTTTGGGTGGCCAGGTGCTGTGTGGAAAGTCTACCCCGACTAGGCAGTGTCCATCGCGCAGATGACAGAGATTCCAAATCGCTGGACTCGTGTCAAAGAGCTGTCTGAGGCTTGCTTCGTCACGGTTCAGACAGACTTTAGTACTTTAGTGCATAAGTGGCTTATCTCGGACCGCTGTAGGACGTGCTTCAGTTTGACTTCAACAACGCTCATGCGTGGCCTATCTGTCTTGGAATTCTCAGCTCTTCGATTTGCCTTTAAGTCTGTTCAAGCCAGTGCACCTCTGTGCGCGCTTGAGGCGCTGGCTGCGGGGTTTGGCGTTGAAGAGCATGGGCAAGACAAAAGAGGCTGAAGAGGCAAGCGTGTGTACCAAAGGAACCGCTCCTACTGCAGCCTGAACTTCAGTTCAGGAGTGCCGCAGGGCGGTCGACTGCGCTCGCTCTCAGGGCAAGGATGGCGAGGCGAGACGGGAGCCGAGCGAGAGCGACAGCAGCAGCGAAAGCAAAGTCCCAAAGGCCCGGCAGTGGGACAAGGAGCTCCAGGAGACCTTCGGCGGAACCGCCACCGCTTCCAGGAGCGGAGCAATGAGTGGGCATCGAGACACACGTCACTTGAACAAAGAACTCCAGGACGCCGCAGGCGACGCCGCACGCCGGAGCCGCCGACGCTGGAGCTGCCGGAGGAGCACCAGTTGCTAGTCACTAGTCTATGCGACAGTTTATCCACATCCGTGAATGTCCCTTGCATTTTGTAGTATACTGTGCCTTCGGCACATTGACATGCAGTTCGAGATTGAAGATTACTCCCCTGGGCGGGTATTGATTCAATAGGCCGGGCCGGGCCAGATGTCACTAAACATATGGGTTTCCATGATGAGTGCCGGCAGTAGCCAGTGGAAGTGGGATCAGTTCGCCGTTGGTTTTGGACGACGATGGCGGCGACAACGACGATTACTTGTAGCCTCTTGTAGCACTGTGTAGCACACAAAATGACAAAGGTATTGCGCGGAAATTGTTTCAAAGACTGCCTGTAATTACTCTTTGAAGCTCTGCTACAACTGTCCGTGGTGTCGGAGAACTCTGAAGAATTCCAAGAGCAGTTGTTCTTTAGGTATAATTGAAACCACCATTGGAACCAAATTCCCTCTGTTGAATCGGGAGATTCCCAACACAACTTTCGCCCTAAACGACTCCGAAGCCTTGGTCGAGGGATGTACGTTATTCGGACCGCCTGCGATATATCCACTGCAATGCCCAACTTGTCTCCGTCTCGGAACAGGAAGCACCGGTTGATGCGTCAACGAAGCTGGCAGTGCCCGCAGGCTTTGCGTCAGAAACCATGAAATCGAATAATCAAGGAAGCGTGGACAAGAGGAAGGCAGAAGGAGTTCCGAAAAAAAGACAAAGTGCTGGAGCATAGTGAGATATGTGTCGACTTTTAGTTGTCCCCTGACTCAGAAGCTTTATCTCACCTGGGCAGGCCTCAAATCCAACACTAGGCTTGATGGGGCAGGCAACCCCCCATATGGATTGCATCAAGCAGCCTCTTGTCCTGTCCACCCCCACTCCCACGAACATGTACTCATTCCTCGCGCACAAGCCTTGGAAGACTGGCTGTCGCTGCTGCAGTTGGACAAACACCCTTTGGTGGATCGAAAGAAATGAAGGCCAATGCGAAGGGAAGCTTCAGCACCACCGCGTTGCACCTCGAAAGGACAAGCCGAAGCCCAGCCAGCCGGAGTCCTGGCACTCAGATAGCCACAGTTCAGACAACGAGAGATTGAGAGAGGCAAGCGGATAGAGACCGGCAGGCATGTCGTTGTTTGTGTGCATTGCGGGCTGGATGCGACAGGTTGAAAGGTTCGCTTAAATTTTGGAAAACTGGCAGGAGGAACGAGGGAGTGTGTTGATGTGTGTGTGTGTGTGTGGAGTGCTTGATGTTGATGTTGTGGGTGTGTGTATATATATATATATTATATATATAAGCATATATATATATATATATATATATATGCATGTGTTTCTTATATATATATATATATTTGTGAGTGCGTGTGTGCGGTTGTGCTTGCTTGCTTGGTTGGTTGGTTGGTTCATTTCGTTGTTCCTCCGTTTCTTGCTTTGACTGCTGCTTTGTTTGTTTGTTTGTTGACTTGGCTGTTTCTGGGTTTGTTCAGCTGTTTGTTTGCAGCACTTGTGGTGCGACTTGCAAAGCGCACCAAGGCTCTCGGACAGTGGACAGGTGAAAAGAGTCCAAAGTGCCAGCGAACTAGTTCGCGTGGTGCTAGATGGTTACAAGCTTGTTGACGTTCAATGTTTGCTCTACAGGGAGGCTACGTGAACAACAGGTTGCCGTTCACGACAGTAAGTTTCCAAGGGGCTCTCGTATCCTCCTGGCGGACACGTTTTTGGAAGTGCCATGTAGGTGATCTACAAGTTACTGGCATGAAGTACTGCTGCCTTGACGCGAATACATCAGCTCCGTTCAGCACAGGATTGATTTGCAGGCGTCCAAATCTGACTCCCATCGCCCATGGAAACGAGTTTTTACGTGGGAGTCAGCTGGGCATGCAATCTGTTTCCGAGTATGCTTCCCCTCCTGTCTACTAGGCTGCGAAGAAGGCACCGTCGCCGGCGCTGCAGAAGGCCAGAGAATCTCAAGGGATTCGTATAGCAAGTTGACGTTTCATGTTGCTCTGACAAAGCCAACAACGTAGGACTTCATGCCTTGAATTTATTGCAAGATGTCTCGTGTGGAGTGCTCGACAACCTCATCCGTCGTGCATCTGCAAACATTCAATTGGCTTGCCGAGATCGGAGGAACAAGTGGTTGTACAAACAAATTACACAAATGAAACGTGCGGGCCAGCATCCGGTTGAGAGACCGCATCTTGCAGATTGAACCTCCGGGAGTTCCAAACGCAGCTGGCATTTTGGGATGTTGACGGTTGCGAGCTCGCACATTACTCGCCTCTGAAATGCTCTGCTTGCCGACGTGGAAAGCCATAATACGTGCATCATCTCATATCACCGAAGAATATAGCAGCCGCCACCAGTCAGGAATTCCAGATCAAAACTTCTCCAAAACTGTGCAAGTTTGCAGACTTGCGATCATTTGGAGAAGTCGATGTTTGCAGGGCTTCTTCAATCGAGCAAGCCGGAAGACAGAGGTGCAAGCTGGCTCATCTTTACAAAAGGGCATGAATCACGTGTTCACATTCAAGCAAACTCGCAGGTGACGGATCAAGGAAAGAACGGCGACGAGGCTAAGACAGCCCGCGACGGTCTCAAGGCCAGATCCCAATGCGTTGTAAAGTTGCATCACCTGGCTTTTTGTAGTTGTCCCGTCAGTAGTCAGTGGTTGCAGGAAGAGCAGGCAGCCAAGCCAAGTGGTAGGGAGGCCGGGATCAGAGGGATGAAGCATGAGGCATCCTGAGGCGCTCTGACTACCAAGTCAGCATCGTCGCAAAAAATGCGTGAGGCTGAGTTGGAGCAAGAACTCACCAGCCTGCGCAAGAGCCTCCAGGATCAAGAGGCCGCGAGCCAGTAAGTTGCCACATGAGAGAGCGAGAGCGAGAGAGACAGAGACGGAGCTAGAGGGGGAGAGAGAGAGTACTGTACGGAAGAGCGACTTTCCCAGCTCCAGGCCGAACTGCAGAAGCAAATTATGCCTGGCGCCGAGCATGTGGCTGACTATTTGCACAATTTTGTATCTATGCATTGCGTTGGCATTTCGTGCGTAAATGCACAGTACATGTATACTTCGTTTTTTGTCCATACATCTGTACGTACGTATGTATGTACCTACGTACCTATGCATATGCATAAACGGATGTAGGCATGTACTGTCTGTATGTATGTATGCATGCATGCATGCATTCATTGATGTATGTTTTCATTTATGCATGCAGGCATGCAGGCATGCATGGATGGATGGGTGGATGGGTTGATAAGGTGATGTGTAGGTGCCATAGACACCTGCAGAATATAGTGTAACATATGTATAGTAGAATATACGAAAATACAACAAAAAGGCAGAATGAAACAGAGTTTAATATCGTATTACAAAACACAATATCATATCACACCATATATATCAGAATATAACTGTATATTACGTTATGTTGTGGCATATTATCTTGTATTACGTTATCGTTTATCGTATCACGTCATATCGTATCATGCCATATCATGTCAAAAGTTTAATGTAATACACCATAGTACAATACAACAAAATACAATATGATATGATACAGTATGTTGCACATACCAGAAAAAGCATTGAACTGTATGTGTGCATTAACATACACACATATACATATGTAAATAAATATATATATATATATGTGTGTGTGTGTGTAAATGCATACATATGTACACCCGGTGTGCAGGTTCAATCCCGTCCAGTGGATATGGGTGAGTTCGTTCTTCGTTTGGACTTAACTTACAGTTACTCATCCGATACACCAGATCTCGAAGCGGCGACAGTGATGCTCGATTGAAACCAACGCTCCCTCCATTTTTGAGACAGACGTCGGCGTGGCATCAAGATGCCAGAACGACCACAGTTGCGAGGAAGGCCCAATTCAACAAATCAGAATATCCAGGTAACGGTGGACACTTTTCAGGTGGCGTTGCATGGTCGAAGACCGCAGCCGGCGACGGCCACACACAGAATTCCGCACTCCCCCGGTCCTCCCTCCACCCTCCCACCAGACGGACCGGGGGCCATGACAAGGCAACGTAGTCCATGCATGTGTGTGTACACAAGTACACATCTGTATATAGGTATGTATACATGTGTAGATATATATACATATACATACACCTAGTTTGTATGTATAACCACATCGACACAGGGATGTGGACGGGTCACGTCCCCCCTGGGCCAAGGAGGGTCCTTGGCAACACCGCACCACATGGCAGCACGCAGAATGTACACACATCCGTGTGCATGTCTCTGCGGGTTAGGGTCTAGGGCTTGGGCGTTTGCGACAAGGTCGCACATGTATGGGACCCTCGAAAGTGATAAACTGAGTTATATGTCACATGTCTACAATCGCACGCCAGGTCAGCAGAAGCCAGGCATGCTGAGGCCTGTCGGGCGATCCCTTTGTGCCGAAGATGAAGGGCTCCCAAAACTTGTATTGAGCAATACCATGGCCGTGTCGGTCGTGTGATCGTCCTATTGGTTCGCAGTGGCTCACCGTTTGGCAGTGAGGGCCGACTTGTCAGGAGCAGCATTTTCGAGAAGGCAGCGAGGCCTGCACTCCGCGGAGCAGGGCCCCAGAATGCACGGCACTGCTCTGCCCAGGCGATTCTTGAGGAGTCCTGAACTCAATGGATAGCCTGGCATATCAAACCTGAACAGCCCATTTTCTCAGGTTGGAGAACTGTATTCATGCGGTGCGGCTCCCGGGTCATCGTGCCTGCAGAGGTGCAGTCAGGGAGATCTTTCCCGATGGTATCCGTTCGCAGACGTTAAGGTTGCTCCGAGTCCGTCAAGCTCGAGCTCTCCAGCTGCACAGGCCGTCGACTTCGACATAGAATCGGCCCTTGCAAAGTTTCAGCAGGTAGAAATGCATCGAGAGCGTGAGCCCACATGTTGTCGAAGGTCGCCATCCAACAGGCAACAGAGCGCACACAGGCTGGATTGCTTGCACAGTGAGACATCTTGAGAAAACATGAGGTTGAGACCTGGGAAGTGGATCTAGAAGGGACTCGTAGCAGGGCTAACACCACGACACTTACTGCGTTGGAGTTTGGATCTCCTTTGCTAGGCTAAGACCACAACGACTACAGCTCAAGTAGCGAAAGTAAGGAAGTAACGGGCCACCTCCCGCATAAATTATCGCAGGCGTCTGAGAATCTCCTAAACCCTCACACGTTGACGAATGATGTGTTGGTCGTCGATCACTCACCACGTCGGGCTTATGATTCCAGGTGCAGCCTGGACCATTGCACACTTTGCACAAATAGCATTCCAACGTTTGGAATCATGTCTCAGTTTCTGCTAGAGCAGTGCACGACTCGAATTAATCTTCAGCGCAGCTGGCTTTATAACCCGTCGGCAGATTGCAAGCATAATTGGAAGATGACATTGCAGTGGGATAGATTTGTCCCAAGTCCTGGAATCCTCGCCACATTCCTACCTTGACATCACCATTTGTCAGGAACACTTGTATAAACAAGAGCCTGCAAAAGACTCAAGAGGACGGAACACAGTCCCGGGCAACTCGAGGAAGTACTTAAATCGCCCACGTCGGAACAGCCAACGCAGCCGAGCGATGTAATTAGAGAAGACACGCACGCACAGAGAGCCATCAAGGCCTTCCATGTTGACCAGAGAGAGATCTCCGGGCAGGTGATTTCTTCACTCATGTACCTAATGCTTGGACACCGAGCAATTGTGTGCCAACCTTGTCCGCGGAAGAGCTGTCAAGTTGATTCTGGTCTTCATTGCTCCAGTTCCAAACGGGAAGTCCCTGAATGCTTCGCCTAAACACACTGTGAAGAAGCCTGTCCTCGGAACCATGGCTTCATTAGAGGGCAAGCAGAAGAGTGCTGGAACGGTATTCTGTAATGCTCTCTCTGGCGGCGGGAGAGATACGGATTTCCAGCTCTCGTAGCTGGACGATCTCTTTGTCTCGAGGAAGGGGCCCTTGAAACCGCAAAGCTCATTGACAATGCTGTCAGCAGCCATCGTCCAACCGACACCGTCGGTTCACGCAAGCAACAGCTGAATTCCAGGTATCTAAGTACGTAGTCGTGTGGCAGATACTGAGCACAGCGTGCTCGCACCAGGCAGGCAAAGCCTGGGCAGAGAATGAGCAGCAGCGCTACGTGGAATTTTCCACGGAGGCCTGTGCTTCCTGCACATCCGAGCTTTCTGCACGCATAATTGCGGCAGGTGCTGACTCTTCAAGAGATGTCGGTGAGGGAGTTTCGTGAACAAGAGGCCTTCCAATGCTCCTGCAACTCTGCCACAGCTGTTTGAGTGCATGCAGGATACCGCGTCGAAGCAAAGCAAAGAACTTCGCGAGCTACCTGGACTGCAATATTGACCGCAATCACAGAACTCGGCGGCCGCGCAGATGAAGTCCTACAAATAATGCATGGGTGCCAAAATGCCAACAGAAATCGAAGGCTTCCTGTGCTGCATGGGGATCATTGATGTCTAAACAAGTTATTATCCAGCAATCCCAGAGTCAAAAGGGCTAGATTGAGATCTGGAGGTCAGCTGCTTGTGGAGCATCCATATATCCAGGAGTAGCCTGGCCCCGATAACGTCGAAAGCTTGCATTTTGCACAGGCTTGCCAAACGGTTTGGCGACCTTCTGAGGCCTGGGTTTTACGGGTTTCCTGGGTTTCGGGCCTGTGGAGGTCCTCAGGGGTTTGAGCCGCTGTCCGACAGACCGGGATGCGAGAAAATCTCGGCAGAAGAGAGTGGTTCTGCTGTGCTCGTGTTTCTTGAGTAGCCATTCACAGTTCTTTGCCGTGGTCCCCTACTGACTTGTGGACCCACGTGCTCCGCCATTGAGAATCGACAATGCCGGCCTTGTGGCGTGTGCAATCTTTTCGCTTGCTTCCTGCCAGCCAGCTTTCGTCCACGCGTACAGGTCGGCTAAGCGGCTGGACGGGTTTGTCAGGCAGGTGAATGTGGAGCCTTTTGACAATTCACGCGGCTTGTGTGCATGTGTCATTGCTCGCAAACTCCAGGGAACACTCTTCGGGACGAGAGATAGCAGACCCGGATGTTCAGCACATGGCACAACAAGGCGGGACTGCAGATGTCGTCCAACTGGGTTTAGCTTTCATGCTTGTTTGATTCATTTGTCTCACAAGCACTGGCCAGTTGCAGACTTCCACAGCCTCCCCTGGACGAGTAAGCTTTCTGCCATGCTTGACGATGGAGAGTCTTGGACTGCAGGGACTACAGGACAGTGAAAGTGGAGTGAACTATCATGAATGTCCCGCCACGTCTGGTTACATGATGTCTGGCATTTGAGCTTTGAGGCAGTCCTGCGAATCGTTGCCATGTTTTCTGCAGGCTGCCCAGTCCGAAAGCAGGTGCAGACTGGTGTTCCGCAATGCACATTTGAGGTGCTTGGCATGATGTTCGGCTTGGCGTTGGTGGTGGAGGACGATCTCAGCACCTTGTGTTTCTTGTGACTGATCAAACACACGCCCCTGCGAGACTGGATTCGCAAAAGCGTGCTCGCTGACCTGTCGGAGAACTCAAGACTGATGGTGGATGCTCATGCAGTGCACAAAAACAGAGTTTCTCGTATCGCTGCATGTATTGCATGCCTCGTGAAAGCCACAATTGCCCAAGCTTCGCGGCAGCTGACACCGATACCTCTACTGCTACTACTTCCGACATATTAATATCCCTATTAATGATCGAAAATCCTAAATCCCCGCATCCTACTATCTATTTCCCAGAAAAAATGAAGTCGATTGAGGACTTGCTACTTGAAATTTGAAAACAAATCAAAAAGCCTAGAATCTAGACCTGGGGAATATAAATTAGAAATCATATAAATAATACGAACTCACGAAGAAGAGTATTTTCTCGTGATCTTCCTGGGCATACCCTCGCCCACCACTCCACGAGATTCCCGAGGAGGCTTAAATCTTCGTCCGTATCCTGAACTTGCTCATTGCTTTCTTTCACTACGATATTTAATCGATCTATATAATGAATACGATTTTAAAAATATTTTTTCATGTTAGAATTCTTATATGTATTAGATATTCATATTATAAAATTAGAAGAAGCTAATTATATAAGAAATTCTAATAGATAATATAAGTATTTTTCGATAATATAATATATTAGAATTAATATACTCTTATAATAAATTGAAAATAAGGAAGGGACGAATTATCGTAATATGGATACGAAATAATAATATGATATAGATACTAATACTAATATAAATATATCTGGATCTATTAGTCGATTTAATATAGATATTTAATTGATTAATATATAGTATAAGAACGATAAATAAAATAAAAACTTTGATTTGAATTATCCTAGACTTTTTAAATTCTCTTGATAAATATTTCTTTTTAATATAATAAATAGAAAG